TTGGTCATATCATATTAATTTGATTTTAGTTGAAAATTAGCGAAACGCACGAATTTCCCGTAATTTAATTCCGAAATTTGCATAATTTTTAATTGCGTTATATTGTTCGTGCTACAAAAGTACTTGTCCTGTTCATTGAATTATAGCGAGACACCCAGCTAGAACTAAAAACGTTTGATACTGAAATCACGGATAAAACCAGATTGATCCTTCTAAAACGACTTGAAATAGTCCGACAGCATTCGTATGGTCAAACAATTTTTGAATTGCATTAACCTCCAATAAGTAGCTCAAAGTTTATGAAATCCCATGGGTTTTCTGAATTTATCGCATTCACGGACGGAAGTTTCCGCTTCATGGACCGATCTTGCAATCTTTGTGATCATGTGACCTGGAAATTGATCATTTCTAAGACCTTCTGATCTTGAGAACTACATCAACTTCACTACACACAAAATTAAATATCTTTTTGTTTTATAAATAAACAATCGGCTTGCCTAGAATGTAAAAAACTCAAAATTTACTGGTTTCATAATTTTTTTTCAAACAATTACAAACGACTTCAGTCTAAAGTGAAACCCTAACTTTCTCCAACGCTACTTGCATTAAATCTACACAATACAAGTGTAATGCTCAGCAGTTACTCTCTTATCAAAACCCATTAACCTTTACACAAAAATAATGCCCAATAAATAATTTCTATAGTTACGCAAACAAGTTCTTCACAAAATCTCTTACAAGGTAAATCTAATAATGACATGGCCTACATTCAATCTAATTACACAGAGGACCCATCGGTAAGCATACCTCATAGAAATAAAATGAAGTAAGGAAGGCTTAAGTTTGCGAAAAAAACCTCAGAAGTATTTTAAGTTCATAAAAGGTTTATATCCCAAGTCCAGTCAAGCAGCGACTACGCAACTCGTAACCAAAAATGAAATCTCCCACCAAAACTAACAAAGCCCATGGGGCATGATCGTCAAGTAACAAACCGCAAAACCTACGTTGTGTAAAAAACGAGTTGTGTGAGATTGTGTGTATGTGTAACCCCAAGGATCGATTAAATAGACAAATAAAAAAAAGAATCGTAATATGAAATTTAATTAAAACTTCACATTCAAAACAAAATTCAACGAAAAGTTGAGAGTAGCTCTAGGGTCTTCATTTGTTACAAAGGAGGAAACAGAGCTACTAGAAATCTTCCGTGCTCACCTACTTCCTACTGCTTTTCCAATTTGCATTTGATAGTTTTCAGTCTGTACGACAACACCTGGGACTTAAAATATTATGGTAATCATCTGTCAACACTTTTCGCGGACATAGATGTATTTGTTATGGACGTTATGTAACGGAGCTGGACGTTGACACCAGGGTCTCAGTGGTAATTAAGGATACACACAACATATGTATTGGTGTGTGTCGTCTAAGCTCAGGCGCCTGCCTTTGGCGAGGACGTCACCAAACCAATAATAATATAGAGACACCATGTACATGAGAATAATTTATTAAGTGTAAATATGAGGGATTATTTACGTATACGCACAAGGTTGGTTAATTTGACTTGAATTTGTTATCGCAGTGTCTATATTTTCTTTTAACTGTTTGTAATTGGGTATTATTGTCTTGCATAATGCTATAGCCCTTGTTCAATTCAGATAAGACGCCGTAAATTAGACACACCTGGTCCAGTTTGTTTACTTTAGAAAAGATTTTATCGGGTTGTTTTCAGATAAGTAGTTTGTATCAGGTGAAAATTAATTAACGCACGTGTTTTATCGCCGTTATGAGAAAGTGTGTTTTTTATTGCTATTACGAAATAATGTCTCGAAAGAATTGCGCGTTCCGTTTTGGAGAAGTGGGGACGCGGAAAACGCCCTGTTGAAACTGGCGTTATTGAAATCTATTTTGAGTTGTCTGAGACGGAAGTACAGCGACACATTTTGTTAAGGTTCTATTCTGATTAAAAGCTAAAAGTGTCTACCGTCCGAACAAGTGTCGTTCAGAAGCCTTCAGCGTTCGTATGCTAGTTAAGTGTCCCTGAATAGCGCAAACCGACCAGATATTTGTCGACCGCCTGCGTGCGGGATTATACGTCCAAACAAGTTTTGCGGTGATAATAAATCCAAGTCAAAAAAGAGTAATATTAATCAAGCTAAACGAAAATTTCGGAAACAAACTCATACCTCACAAAGGCACCTTATTTCTGCCGCAGTAGACTAAAAGACCCCCGCATCCTACTCCCTCTTGCTCCACTGAAAACCCATCAGAGGCCTATACTGGCGAGACTTTGTCCTCAAGTAATTTGAATTATTAAGCTAAGACATTCCCAGTGGCGTAACTTGCATCTTTCACCCTCAATGGAGCGCACAAAATTTCTAGTGGGGGCTGTTCAATTCAGAACTGCCTGATAAGTAACACTTTTCTAAATGTTTGTGCAAATCTAGCATAAGCTTTTTAAAATTCCACTCATTGAACTTAACCTCAGTATCTGAAACCCTGTTACTTGAAATAAATAAATAAATAAATAAATAAATAATAAATAAATAAATAAATAAATAAATAAATAAATAAATAAATAAATAAATAAATAAATAAATAAATAAATAAATAAATAAATAAATAAATAAATAAATAGTTTTCGTTCTCTGTTTACAGTCTTGATTAAGTTGCACATTCGTCCCATTCAAAAGTGTAAAGTTTCTATTTCTGTACAGAAGTCGGTCGATTCCGATATGGGCTCACGCAAACAGCCTTTTAGATATCACCCTACGCTTAACGTCAAACGTGTGTTTTAATGCCAGAAGGGTAATAAAAGCAACACACCCTAACGACAGTAAGTCACACAAGGTAATGTTATCATTACGCAATCGGCAAATTCGTAAAACCCCCGAAGTGACATTTTACGTCGTAATTAGTCCACGAAATTATTAGGGGTTGGTGTTGTTACAATCATTAGCCCTTACTCACAATCGATTCACCAGTGCCGGTTGCCTCCAGAATGGAAAATCATGGTCAATCAACCTTGCGAGTAGGGAGGAGAGGAAGGGTGTAACGAGTGCTGAACTTCTGAGTACACAGATTTACAGCGACCAGTCATAAGTAAAAACGTGTTCATTATATTATCAGTAAATTGGATCGTAATGCTCTCTTCTGTTACGGTTTGCTGCCATGAGAAGCATAAATCCCTAAACCTGACCTAAAAAAGTGTCAGAGCACCTTGGTGTGACCCGACTTTTTACATGAAGTAGTTTGAACCGAATCGGTCTAAGTAGTTATCGTGTTCACGGACAGACAGACCGACAGACGGACACTATCGACCCTCCTATAAAGCTTGCATCGCTTTGCTCATCCGCAGCATGCGAAGGTGACCCTTTCTTATGGTCTTCCTCTTATTGCTGTTGTTTCCCACACTGCCAGTTTACTCCTACAACTTCTCCTCCTAATATTAATTCTTAGCCATTCACTGTTTTACTCCTTCTTCACTTTTTTCTATCATTTTTCTTCTACTTCCCTTTACGTGTTAATCCTATTTTTTATCATTCCTTTCTCAGTCCTTGTCCATTCACTTCTTTTACATTGTCCCTTCCTATCCTTTTATTCTTACCACTTTCCATGCCGCTTATCCCTTCCCATTCGTTCCCACACAGCTTTAAAGTGGTCGTATAAAATGCACCTACACTAGGAAGTCCTCCTTTATGGCGTACCCCCTTCTACTATATGTTTGCATGATCATGCATTTGTAATCCTTTCCCTCATTTTTTTTCACTCACTAACCTTCGTCTGTAATTCTGTACACTATCTTCTGTTAGTATTTCTTCTTCCGTATATTTATAATTAATTCTCTGATGTACACCGTTGTTACCTTAATTCTTCCCCATCCATCATCAGTCCCTCTGTCTTAGATGCTCTCGTTCTCGTCTATTTCTTACCCTATCCTTTAGCTTTACTCTGTTATTTTGATTTTTTTATTTTGTTCTTCCATTTTATATCCCTGCTCGCGAATTGTCTCTTCCATATGAACCCATAACGTTTTACAAATTTTCTTTTTCTCGCACTTCCACTGATCTCACTACTTTCCTCACAAAATTCCAAAAACGTTCATACTTAATTGGTATCGCTGCAACGCCCCAGAACATAATAATCTTTATGTAGTGTACTTAACCCCCAGGTTGTACATACGCTAACTTCACACAACAAGAACAGGGGAATAAATCAACCCGGAAACGTTTAAAAATGTCACCCGAATGACTATTCCCAAAAACTAAACAAGATACTGCTTAAATTTGAAAAGTGGCACGTGATCAAACAGGAAGAATGGTCTCGCCCCTTTCTTTCCTTTCCTCCTCATTCACCGCATTCGTACTCCTTTTCTTAAGCAGACCTTCCACGTGCATTCATTTCATCTAACTTTGAATTAACGCCATGTCTTCGAATTTGGAACAGAATGTTGAAACACCACTTCCACGTACGCACATGGTTCGTACAAACTTGGCGAACAAATACAGGTACGATTGTGCACGCAAAAACAACGAACATGCGTTTTCGGTTCCTCATATACTACAATGCGTAACTCTATCTCACTTAATGTCTGAACTCTAGGAGCGACAACCACATCCACGCGCGCGGCCAGCATCGCTCCGCGCCAAGAATTTAGGATTGGCAAAACTCTTCGCTCCGCAGCAAGATCGATGCAAACTTTGCGCGATGAACCCTTCCACGTTCGAACTTGGTCTGTTTGCAGGGGTGTACACTCCAAGTTCTATGAAATGAATGCACGTGGAAGGCCTGCTTTAGAATAAGATTGTAGTTTAAAACCCTATTTGTACAAATTTTTATTTTAATTTAATTGACCACCCTTTATCAAACTAGCACGCCTCTCCTAAGTGGTGAGGGATAAACGACAATTAAAGAAACTCTTAACTTAATAGATTCCTTTCGGGAAAGATACCCTTTCAATAGGTCCTTGTTCCCCAAAAGGAAAGCATGAATGTAGTTCATATAAAAATGCACCTACAAAAGGAAGTCTTCCTGTACGACATAGTGCTCCAGTAGAGTGTTAATCATCCTGGCGAATCCGGGATGTGAGACCTCACTGATACGTTCAGCACAGGACCTAACTAAATCTTCTTTCAACTCCACGTATTTACCCAAAACGTCCAGTTCCTCAAAAATTCGGTAGCAAACGTTTCGGCAACTAATCTCCGCTCTTCCGTAGTTTTCCTGGAGAAGCTCCTTTTGCTTCTCGCTACCGTGGATCAAAACCATTGACGTAATCCAGGTACACTGGCCATTTGCAATATCGGAGCTAACCTTTCCATAATTGGCGTAGTGACCGAAGGCGTCCCACATGTCGTTCTAAGGTGAATAATGTGTGAGTGGGCGCGTTTGAATATCGATACCAACCTGAGCTTGGCGGTATATCGAAAAACTCCGAAAGAGGCGAACTGAGTCAAAATACAGATTCGGATCCAGCTCTGCAAGATAGATTGCTGATAGTATAGGTGCGGTATATATAATGAAGTCTGCCTTGTACTTAGTTATGGCATAGAATCCATCGAATGAGAGTAAACTAATGTCTCTAGTTTTTCTGAAAAGGCCCGAGGTGGCAACATCTAGTGCCTGCCCAAGGCTGGTTTGATGTATAATTTCAGCTAACAGGTTATGGAAGTGTTTGTAATTTGGATGGTTGTTCAAATATCTTCTAAGAATTGCAAAAGCGCCCATCCTGATCAGATTTACGTCCAAAGCGACTCGCATACCAACCTGAGGAAGCGTGTGCCAAGTTGGTTTCTTCCATCGCTCAACACTTTCATCCATGACGTCATCCACAATAATAGTGGACGTTCCTGCCTAAATAGATGAAAAATTACATCACAACTGATTGTTTTGGTAAATTACATGTTCAAAGGCCCACGATAACATGGTCGCCATCTTCAGGCTGTCGCATGTCTGCTTTTCGGGTGATTCCAGAGCCGTGTAGCAGTCCATCAAAACTGGACCTGGGTAAAGATCACGCTCCGGTCCGGTGTAGTAGCACAATTCTTCGTAACGTTCGACCACCCCACGCATTTCGGGGTCTGTTCTGAGTATCGAATCTCTCACCACGAAGGGAAATTGGTGCATCATCTTCTTTACGTTGGCTATGGTGTCAAAATGAGAGCAGCTCTCACCTTAAAAAGGGGAACTTACTCAATTCATGAAAATCATCGGGTTTGTCCGTAAGGTGTGTCTGATCGCACATCTTATCAGCGTGTGCTATACTTAACGCGGATTTGTAGCAAAATCTACGGCAGATTCTTGAAACCATGTTCTAGGTCAGGCAGTCTTGTAATTATACCAAGCACTATGATCAGTAGTAATCCTCATTTTGCTTAAAAACAGCAGATAAAGGTAATTAGCAGAATTGGATTTAGTGACCTCCAAAATTATAGAATCCTATCGCTTAGATTACATAAGTATAACTTAATCGAGTCAAAGCCTTTGAATCATCAAAGTTGTAATCAGGTTTGTCGGAAAATAATTCCCACGTATATTCAAAGTACTAATGAAATCTCTCATAAAGGTAGGATTCACAGGATATTTTAAAGATAGGAAAAATTTAATGCGATTTACTACGTTTGTGGAGATATTTTAACCACTAAAAAGATCCTAGAAGATTTACAACACGTCAGAGGAAATCAAGCGCAATCGAAGGCCCAACAAAAAACGAAAAAAAATTGAGGAGGGAACATAAGGATAAATGGAGTGAGAGAGAGTAAGGATTGAGAAAAAGTAAGGGGGAATGGGGAATTAAAATATGCGAAGAAGAATGAAACTATGAGGAGCAAAGGATAGTTAAAGAACGAATAATAGGTATGTACAGATAGCCAGCACGAATTTCGGGGAAAGGTCGGTACAGAGAGGTGTAAGTGGGAGGAAGTAACAGAAAAACACACAAAAGGAAAAGAGTCGGAAATAGCGAAAAGAGGAAAAGCGAAAGAGTACATAAAGATTATTATGTTCTTAGGCGTGGCAGCGATACCAATTAAGGATGAACGATTTTGGAATGTTGTAAGGAAAGTGGTGAGATCAGTGCGATTAAAAGAGGAAAATTTGTAAAATGTTATGCCAATAAGGTTCATATGGAAGAAACAATTCGCGAGGAGGGATATAAAATGGAAGAACAAAATAAAAAAATCAAAAGGACAGAGTAAAGGGTAGGGTAATAAATAGACCAGAACGAGAGCATCTAAGTTAGAGGGGCTGATGATGGATGGGGAAGAATTAAGGTAACAACGGTGTACATCAGAGAATTAATTATAAATATACGGAAGAAGAAATACTAACAGAAGATAGTGTACAAAATTACAGAGAAAGGTTAGTGAGTGAAAAAAATGAAGGAGGTTTGCTGCATTCTTGAAACAGAAATTACGAAGCAAGTTTCGTGAGTTCACTAACATCCAAAAGTGAATTATTTCAAACGTTGGACCTTAAACAGAATCGATAGCCTTTGTGGGTATATGTATATTTTTTTTTTTTTTTCTACTTCAAACCTAGTTTCAACTCTCTTAATGCTCGATCCCTCACTAAGTCTTCTTCGATTTTTGTCTTATAGCTTGTCATCTCTTGATATCACTTTTCATTCGCTCTTCCATTTTCTTTGTTCGTCGAACCCTGCCAACGATCTTTTGTTACTTTTCAATTCTTATATCTTACGAGTATTTAAAGCGGGTTCCGGAGAGAATTTCTTTGCTTTCCTCCTCATTCACCGCATTCATTCCTCTTCTTAGTATTCTTTCTGTAATTTGATACTTTTCTATTGTTTCTTCTTTCCCTCCCTTCCATAAACACTTTTCCTCTCCTTCCTTTGCGTGTTAACCACCATTTCTTACTATTCGTTCCTAGCCAGTTGTCCGTTCACTTCGTGTACTTTGGCCCTTTCTTGTCCTTTTATACTTACAACTTTTTTGACGCTTATCCCTTCCCATTGGTCTATTGTGTTCGGATACCAATAAATTATTCCGTTTCACATTTTTTTTTGTTTTTTGTTAAATAGTAAGAGTGAGTGATAAAAACCTCTATGGCCAAATTTTCATTTTTATTTACTGCCCTTCTCTCACATAATGGATTCCTTTAAGGTTATTTATTTAAATAGGGTTGTAACAGATGTAACATTTCAATAGGTTCTCGTCCCCCACAAGGAAAGCATTAAAGTGGTGCAACTACAAAAGGAAGTCTTCCTGTACGACATAGTGCTCCAGTAGAGTGTTAATCATCCTGGCGAATCCAGGATGTGAGACCTCACTGATACGTTCAGCACAGGACCTAACCAAATCTTCTTTTAACTCCACGTATTTACCCAAAACTTCCAGTTCCTCAAAAATACGGTAGCAAACGTTTCGGCAACTAATCTCCGCTCTTCCGTAGTTTTCCTGGAGAAGCTCCTTTTGCTTCTCGCTGCCGTGGATCAAAACCATTGACGTAATCCAGGTACACTGGCCATTTGCGATATCGCAACTAACCTTTCCAACATTTACGTGGTGACCGAAGACGTCCCACATGTCGTTCTAAGGTGAATAATGTGTGAGTGGGCGCGGTTGAATAGCGATACGAACCTGAGCTTGGCGGTACACCGAAAAGCTCCTAAAGAGGCGAACTGAGTCGAAATACAGATCCGGATCCAGCTCTGCAAGATAGATTGCTGACAGTACAGGTGCGACATACATAACGAAGTGTGTCTTGTATACAGTTATAGCCTGGAATTCATCAAATGAGAGCAAACTAATGTCTCTAGTTTTTCTGAAAAGGCCCGACGTGGCAACGTCTAATGCTTGCCCAAGGTGGCTTTGCTGTATAATTTCAGCTAACAGGTTATGGAAGTGTTTGTAATTTGGATGGTGGTTCAAATATCTTCTAAGAATTGCAAAAGCACCCATCCTGATCAGATTCACGTCCAAAGCGACTCGCATACCAACCTCAGGGAGCGTGTGCCAAGTTGGTTTCTTCCATCGCTCAACACTTTCATCCATGACGTCGTCAACAATTAAAATGCACGTTGCTGCCTAAATTGATTAAAAGTGACATCTCACCTGATCCTTTTGGTAAATTACATACATGTTCAAAGGCCCAGGATAACATGGTCGCCATCTTCAGGCGGTCGCATGTCAGTTTTTCGGGTGATTCCAGAGCCGTGTAGCAGTCCATCAAAACTGGACCTGGGTAAAGATCACGCTCCGGTCCGGTGTAGTAGCACAATTCGTCGTAACGTTCGACCACCCCACGCATTTCGGGGTCGGTTCTGAGTATCGAATCTCTCACCACGAACGGAAATTGGTGCATCATCTTCTTTACGTTGGCTATGGTGTCAAAATGAGGGCTGTGTACGCTTAAAAAGGGGAACTTACTCAATTCCTGAAAATCATCGGGTTTGTCCGTAAGGTGTGTCTGATCGCACATCTTATCGGCGTGTGCTATACTTAACGCGGATTTGTAGCAAAATCTACGGCAGATTCTTGAAACCATGTTCTAGGTCAGGCAGTCTTGAAATTATACCAAGCACTATGATCTGCAGTAATCCTCATTTTGCTTAAAAACAGCAGATAAAGCTAATGATCAATTGCATTTAGTGACCTCCAAAATTATAGAATCCTATCGCTTAGATTACATAAGTATAACTTAATCGTGCCTTTGAATCATCAAAGTTGTAATCAGGTTTGTCGTAAAATAATTCCCACATATTCAAAGTACTAATGAAATCTCTCATAAAAGTAGGATTCACAGGATATTTTAAAGATAGGAAAAATTTAATGCGATTTACTATGTTTGTCGAGACATTTTAACCACTAAAAAGATCCCAGACGATTTACACGTCAGAGGAAATCAAGCGCAATAGAAGACACAACAAAAACGAGAAAAGATTGAGGACAGGGAACATAAGGATAAATAGAGTGAGAAAGAGTAAGGATTGAGAAAAAGTAAGGGGGAATGGAACAATAACTGGGGAATCAAAGTATGTGAAGAAGAAAGAAACTATGAGGAGATAAGGATAGTTTTTGTTTTTTCTTTGATTTGAAATATTATATTTATGAATTTAACAAAAGGTTACAACATTAACATATTGCAAATAAAATTGTTTAAAGAAACATTTAAAAAAAATTTACTGTATACTTAAAATATAAAAAATTTCATTAAATAAATTAAATAAAAAAAGGATAGTTGAAGAACGAAAAATATATACAGATAGCCAGTACGACTTTCGAAGGAGGTTTGGTATAGAGATATGTTAGAAGTGTGGCGCAAAACAAAAAACACATAAGAAAGAGGGCGGGTGTAAGAGGGAGGTTGTAGCAGAAAAACACACAAAAGGAAAGGAGTCGGAAATAGCGAAAAGAGGAAAGGAGAAAGAGTGCGTAAAGATTATGTTCTGGGGCGCGGCAGTGATACCAATAAGGATGAACGTTTTTGAAATTTTGTAAGGAAAGTAGCGAGATCAGTGCGATTAAACGAGGGAAATTTTTAAAATGTTATGCCAATAGAAGAGACAATTGGCGAGGAGAGATATAAAATGGAAGAACAAAATAAAAATTCAAAAGAACAGAGTAAAGGATATGGTAAGAAATAGACAAGAACGAGATGGATGGGGAAGAATTAAGGTAATAACGATGTACTACATCAGAGAATATATGATAAATCTACGGAAGAAGAAATACTAACAGAAGATAGTGTACAGAGTTACAGAGAAGGTTAGTGAATGAAAAAAATGAAGAAAAGGATGACAAATGCATGTTAATGAAAACATGTAGGGGAAGGGGACGGGTGAGTGAAATGGATAAAAATGTTGCCGTACAGTCTACACAGCTTGACCACAGGACATCATAAATTCAGTACCTGCCTAACTGGCTGCGGGTCTCTCTTGTTATCGCTTACCTATCCCAAATACGCAAATTTAATGTTCCTTATCTTTCATATATGATTCTATTCAGAAATGTCAAAAGCTGACAAGTTAGTCAAAAAGCGCGAGACCATCAAAAATAAATTCATGGCTTTTAAAAACTTTCTTGATACCATTAAAGCGAAGGATTCAAATGTATAAAAAAAAAATTCGTGTTAGTAAATTTCAAAGTTTAATAAATGAGTTTGAATGCATCCAGGACGATATCTATTTGTAGATAGAAACCAATTTCGAAAAAAAATTCAAAGGTCTGTAACTTTTGAACTAGTAGCCCAATCTTGGGACTGTTTGAAATTATGGATTCTACAGGCCACATTCTATAGGAAAAATTTTTTTCCCGGTCGATCTGAGACAATTTTTTTTCGGGGCTCAAAAAAAGGCAGTGTATAACCTTTCTTTTTTACCAAAAATCGACTACACCATTTCTCGGGAAAACACTTTTTCTTATTATTTTGGGTGCGTAGAATCCAAATCAATTCGTACTTTTTCGATCAGACTTCTCAATCAAAAGTTATAGACCAATTTCGAAAAAAAATTTAAAGGGCTGTAATTTTTGAACTAGTAGCCCAATCCTGGAACTGTTTGAAATTATGGATTCTACAGGCCACATTATATAAGAAAAATTTTTTTCCGGGGCGATCTGAGACAAATTTTTTTCGGGGCTCAAAAAAGGCAGTGTATACTTAACCTTTCTTTTTTACCAAAAATCGACTACACCAAAATTTCTCGAGAAAGCACTTTTTCTTATTAATTTGGGTGCGTAGAATCCAAATCAATTCGTACTTTTTCGATCAGAATTCTCAATCAAAAGTTATAGACTAGAAACAAATTTCGAAAAAAAATTCAACGGGCTGTAACTTTTGAATTAGTAGGCCAATCTTGGAACTGTTTGAAACTATGGATTCTACTGGCCACATTCTATAAGAAAAATTTTTTTCCGGGTCGATCTGAGACAATTTTTCTTTCGGGGCTCAAAAAAAGGTAGTGTATAACCTTCCTTTTTTACCAAAAATCGACTACACCAAAATTTCTCGGGAAAACACTTTTTCTTATTAATTTGGGTGCGTAGAATCTAAAACAATTCGTACTTTTTCGATTAGACTTCTCAATCAAAAGTTATAAACTAGAAACCAATTTCGAAAGAAAATTCAAAGGGCTGTAACTTTTGAATTAGTGGCCCAATCTTGGAACTGTTTGAAATTATGGATTCTACAGGCCACATTCTATAAAAAAAAATTTTTCCGGGTCGATCTGAGACAATTTCTTTTTCGGGGCTCAAAAAAAGGCAGTGTATAACCTTCCTTCTTTACCAAAAATCGACTACACCAAAATTTCTCGGGAAAACACTTTTTCTTATTAATTTTGGTGCGTAGAATCCAAACAATTCGTACTTTTTCGATCAGACTTCTCAATCAAAAGTTATAGACTAGAAACCAATTTCGAAAAAAAATTCAAAGGGCTGTAACTTTTGAACTAGTAGCCCAATCCTGGAACTGTTTGAAATTATGGATTCTACAGGCCACATTCTATAAGAAAAATTTTTTTCCGGGGCGATCAGAGACAATTTTTTTTCGAGGCTCAAAAAAGGCAGTGTATAACCTTTCTTTTTTACCAAAAATCGACTACACCAAAATTTCTCGAGAAAGCATTTTTTCTTATTAATTTGGGTGCGTAGAATCAAAATCAATTCGTACTTTTTCGATCAGAATTCTCAATCAAAAGTTATAGACAAGAAACGAATTTCGAAAAAAAATTCAAAGGGCTGTAACTTTTGAATTAGTAGGTCAATCTTGGAACTGTTTGAAACTATGGATTCTGCTGGCCACATTCTATAAGAAAAATTTTTTTCCGGGTCGATCTGAGACAATTTTTCTTTCGGGGCTCAAAAAAAGGTAGTGTATAACCTTTCTTTTTTACAAAAAATCGACTACATCAACATTTCTCGGGAAAACACTTTTTCTTATTAATTTTGGGGCGTAGAATCTAAAAGAATTCGTACTCTTTCGATTAGAATTCTCAATCAAAGGTTATAAACTAGAAACCAATTTCGAAAGAAAATTCAAAGGGCTGTAACTTTGGAATTAGTGGCCCAATCTTGGAACTGTTTGAAATTATTGATTCTACAGGCCCCATTCTATAAGAAAATTTTTTTCCGGGGCGATCTGAGACAATTTTTTTTTCGGGGCTCAAAAAAAGGCAGTGTATAACCTTTTTTTTTACCAAAAATCGACTACACCAAAATTTCTCGGGAAAGCACTTTATCTTATTAATTTGGGTGGGCAGAATCCAAATTAATTCGTACTTTTTCGATCAGATTTCTCAATCAAAAGTTATAGACTAGAAACCAATTTCGAAAAAAAATTCAAAGGGCTGTAACTTTTGAACTAGTAGGCCAATCTTGGAACTGTTTGAAATTATGGATTCTACAGGCCACATTCTATAAGAAAATTTTTTTCCGGGTCGATCTGAGACAATTTTTTTTTCGGGGCTCAAAAAAAGGCAGTGTATAATCTTCCTTTTTTAGCAAAAATCGACTGCACCAAAATTTCTCGGGAAAACACTTTTTCTTATTAATTTTGGTGCGTAGAATCCAAAACAATTCGTACTTTTTCGATCAGACTTCCCAATCAAAAGTTATAGACTAGAAACCAATTTCGAAAGAAAATTCAAAGGGCTGTAACTTTTGAACTAGTAGCCCAATCTTGAAACTGTTTGAAATTATGGATTCTACAGGCCACATTCTATAAGAAAATTTTTTTTCCGGGTCGATCTGAGACAATTTTTTTTTCGGGGGCCCAAAAAAAGGCAGTGTATAACCTTCCTTTTTTACCAAAAATCGACTACACCAAAATTTCTCGGGAAAACACTTTTTCTTATTAATTTGGGTGCGTAGAATCCAAATCAATTTGTACTTTTTCGATCAGACTTCTCAATCAAAAGTTATAGACTAGAAACCAATTTCGAAATTTCTCCTTGTCCTTCTGTTGCCATAGCCTTTTCAACGGTTGCTATCTTAATTTTTGTGTCACCACAACTCCTTGACTATGATCTTTAAATTTGTGCCTGTTTTTCCATCTTCCATCATTTCCCATACTATTTCCCTTTCTACTCCGAACGCTGTCCTTAGATCCATGAAAAACGCTATCATCCTTTCCAATTCTGGGAGAGGGTCTAATACCGGCGGTATGGTGGTGGAGGTGTATGTAATACCTCCCAACCACAAAGGAACGCATTCCATGAAAAAAGGACTTTCGAAAGTCCGTGTATCGGCCTCGGAAGGGAGATTCACGAAATATTCTTTCCTGGGATGCATTCACCTAGGGATTTTCCACACCACCCAAACCCCCAAATTGTTTGAGTCATTTATCGAGGAGAGTTATCCACGTTTTAGGGGACAACCAACACACCAACAGGGAGTTTTGGAATCATGGAGTTCTTTTTAGGCAGAAAAAGTTGAACAGCTCACCCTGAAAGAAAAGCTTTCGCTTTTTCTGGATATTATTTACCTGGAGGAGGGCGGGGGGTATATTCCATACCACCCAAACCTTCCAATGCTGTACTTCTTCCCAAATTGTTTAAGGAACAGCCAGGGTTGTTTGTGTGGTCTTGGGAGTATATGGATATTCCAAGGAAGAAGAGACTTTGAAAGTCTTCATAGCAATTCGGGAGGGAGATTCGCGGAATATTTCTTTACTTATGTATATTTACCTGAGGGGTATTCGCTTGCCCCCTGACCCCTCGATTCGATGTTCACCCCCCCCCCCCCCCAGGTCCATGGTGCTATACTTTCACCCGAATGGTTAAGCTCAAGGAATTATTTTTCTATACGTTCTAGGGGACAACACAAGAACAGATAATTTGGGAGACAGGGAAAACCTTTTAGGCAGAGATACTTCGACAGCCCTCGCTAAAAAATGATCACAAGTGTTCCAGGAAATAAGAGTTATCGGAACTTTTTATATCAAATCGGGAGGGAAATTCGCGGAATATTTATTTCCTGGGATGTGTTTACCTGGAGGCATTCTATACCCCCCAGACACCCCGGTGCTATACTATTGCCCAACCCTCTCTGAAAAATCTCCTGGGACAGCAAGGCTGCCCTAAAAGCACTTGGTGAAATTACCTCTGGGTGGTTTTCCGAATGTCACCAACGGAAGGTAGTGAGAAAGCCCGACTGGCTACTAAAGAAATGTTACATACTTTGTGAACGTCCCGCTCCCCGCTCCAGTCTGAGTCTGAGACCATCCATGTTGGGGGTAACCTGGCCGGACATCGGGCTACGATTAGATTCGCTTCCCCTTCCAAAATCCCTAGATTCATCTCACGTGTGGGATGCCTTGGATGACGAGGTCCGACGGCTTCAGTCAGGGATGTAGTACAAAACGCCCCAACCAAGGTCTAACTGCATGTGTACTTAGTTCACCCCCCTATAGTAGGTAATCCATAGAAGTAATGAGAGCATGGTACTATTAGCAAATTCCTTTGTCAGCAACATTGTTTTGAAACTGACCTTAATAAATTTCGTTACGAATAAGCAAAGGCACTTTGACCAACATTAGTTTGCTATACTCGTAATTTTGAAAAATATCAATAAACTCCTAAGAGAATTAAACTTATTTCCCAAAATGTCGGTGGTTTACTGAAATAAAGCCCAAAAGGATTACTTTAAAGGATTAATACATATTCTTATACCCTTTTTTTGGAACATCACCACGAAGGGCTAGCTCTAGGCACTTTGCCAGTATAGGACAACCCGGTTACACGGTGTGAAGAAAGGTCTAGGCCAGTAACTTAGGTACGGTTTCTGCAGAACTGCAAATGCTAAAATAGCATTCCCAAACAAAGAAGAATTCATTTATTTATTTATTTATTTATTTATTTCTTTGTTTAGCCAGATACCATACAGAATACAAGTATTCCAATTACATGGCACTGGGATGCTGTACTTAAAACTAAAACTACATAGTAATTACGATCTTATATGACTAATTAATTCATTCAAAGAGCCGTGAAATACATCAATGTCTCTCTCACGGCACTTCTTATTTAAAGCCAACAGGCTCCTCGATAGTGGCGATGACGGAGTGGTCACTAAAAAGATGATATCGTTTTTCCTTAATTTAACATGTGGCACTTTGAGTTTAATTTCCTGAAGCAATTCTGGAGGCATTTAGGTGATTATTCAGTATCTTGTACACAAAGGTAGCACAGATCACTCGCGTCGGATTTGTAAACTTGAGATTTTAATACCGTGCACACTATTTAAAAATTTTAGTTGGTTGGAGTAAGAGATTAAATGTGGAAAATTTTGAGTCGACCTAAAGTACACTATTCGCACTAATTTTTTTTTTAACTTTCTCTATCATGTCTGCGTGCTTATAAGTTTGGGGTGTCCAAATACATGCCGCATAATCGAGTTTGGATCTGATGAACGCATTGTATAATGTAATAATTGAGGAAATGCTTGTAAAATTGTAGGTATTCCTAATTACAAAGCCTAGTACTTTGTAGCACGCATTTATAAGGGATTCAATGTGCCGATGAAAATTTAAGTTGCCATTGAATAAAACGCCCAAATCTCTAACCGAGGTGACTCTTTGGATATCCTGCCCATTTATTTCGTACTTAAAAATCGTGGGATTGTTGGATCTTGTGTACGATACAACTTTGCACTTTTCTATGTTTAGCTTCAGTTTGTTTTTATTGCACCAATTTATCACTGCATTTATGTCTGCTTGAATATTTAAACAATCGTTTGGAGATTTCACTTTATTAAAAAGTGTCAGGTCGTCTGCAAATAGAAGTGCTTTGGAGTTTTGAATCACCCGCGGTATGCGTGACTTTGCTGTGTTTTTTCGTAAATATTTGTCGTGTTTCGATGTGGTTACAAAATAACTGTGCGAAAATGCCAATCACATACAAAATGGTTGTGTAATTTGTTAAATAAAACGGCTGTACAAGTAGCATAGAGCACAGTTTATCATTAAAGTGCGAGAATGAATAACGTCCTGAGCGTTCTGAGGCGTTGCTACAGCCTGAAGACGGCCATTACGATGGAGCACGCTGGCAGATTATCCAAAGCAGTTAATTTGGCGCAACCCATTGAAGCTTTTCCAATGGATGGTAAGGATCATAATATTGTTTTTGGGCTTATTTTAACTGCAGCGTGCAGATACCTTAATGATGATGATGGACCAGTACTCTTTTGCCGTAAGAGATTCCACGTTAAGGGGGGAAGTAGAGCTGGATCCCGCAATCAAGCGCTTTGACGAATTTTGTTATTACGCTGGACCAGAGAGGGAGCTATACACAGGGACAATAATGATAAACTGCTACCACAAGATTGAATCACCGGAAAGGTTGACACCTGAGAATCTGAAGCTGGCGAGCATTTTAGCGTGGGTTTATGAAAATGTATGTAAGTGCCCGGTGTCTCCCAAATGCAGGGTTTATTTCAGATAACCACGGGATTTGTACTGACCGACGATATCTTGGACGGTCACAAGGTGCGTTGGAAGAAACCAGCGTGGCACGCGCTGCCCCACGTGAAGCAGTCCTCTCTGTTGGATATAAAACAAATCTCAATCGGATCCATGCTCCTCCTTCAAAAATATTTTAGAAATCACCCTCGCTATCCCCAACTCCAGAACCTTCTCACGGAATTTATGCACCTCACCTTCCTCGGCCAATGTCTCGACTACATCACATCGGAGAACTACCAGCAGACCAGGGACTGTAATTTACTCGGCATGAAGCACTACAAATCCATCGTTATGTACAAAACGGGCTTCCCTCTGTACATAGCGTCACCGTTAGGTGCGCTCCACCTTGCCAACGTGGACACCGAGCCGTTCGCCCGCTCCAAGCACATCTTCGAGAAGCTCGCGGTCTACCGACAAGCGCAGGTAAGCTACTCCCCGGTCTGCTGTCGTCATCTCCGACATTTCTTGCAGAACGACATGTGGGACTCGTTCAGCGACTTCAAGAACATCGGCAAGCACTCCTCGGATATCGCCAAGGGGAAGGCGACGTGGATTACGGCAACCGTCCTGGTCGAAGCGACCGAGACACAGAGACAGCTCTTCTTGGAAAACTACGGACGAGAGGAGCCCGAATGCCAACGCGTCGTGCGCGATGTGTTCGGCGAGATGAACATCGTGGAGAGGTTCGGGAAGTTTCGGCACGAGCTGATGAGGGAGTGCGACGAGCACACCTCGATGGTGGCACACCCGACCGTTACGAAAATGATTAACGTGCTTATCGAAAAGTACGTCAATATATACGAAGACTACGAATTGTGACCTGTAAATATAATCTGTAATTTCTAATAAAGTGAGATCAGAATCTCAAGAACCCCAACTACTCCTGAAAGACTCTCGGAAAGTCTTTGTAGCTTTTGGAGGGTCTTGAAGATCGTTGCTTATAGAATTTTTAAAAGACTCATAGATTCAAAGGCGCTAAAACACCCTTTCGGAGAAGTAGATGAGCAATGTATGTTCTGGACCAGGAAGTGACGTCACACCAATCAGTATCGAGTATTTCGGTCACGTGGTCACGTGTGAGCCAATGGGAGCGCGTGAGTCGGCCTTTTTGTGACGTCACATTTTGGCTGTTTTGCATCCGGTGTTTCTGGACCAGGAAACGCGTCACACCAATCAGAATCGAGTATTTCGGTTGGCCATTTTGTCTACGTCACATTTTGGGTTGGATCAGGAAACGCGTCACACCAATCAGAATGCAGTATCGGCCATTTTGTGTACGTCATATCTAGTTTTCCCGCGTTTATTTCTGGACCAGGAAACACGTCATAGGCGGCGTCGAGGATTTCAACCATCCATCATACGCGAATTACGAATCTGCCGCTTTAGTCAATTGAGCTTATAATTAGGATGGGAAGTTGCAATCTCGCAATAGTGTTTATTTATAGCAGATATGATAACACTTTTATAGGTGTAATAACCATTTTATTTTAATGCATGTAATAAATACCTACATATACAAAATGTGTTGAAGTTACAATTATAATGGAGTACATCAATGATATATTCCTAGCGGAGTATGCTACATCGGATGCAATAGTTTGAAGAGTTTCAGGCATAAATAATAAAAAAAAATTAATATATTTATTATACAAATTGATTATATTTTTGTAACAAATTATTAAAAGCTTCATCGTCCTCTTCTATTTCACTTTTATATTTTCCAATGCGAATACAAACGTCCATCGCAGCATAATGCATGTATTGCACATAATCTCTAGTAGGGTATTCATCATCTTCTAATAGTTCCAAATATTCCGTTACTCTTCGCAGTAAAAGCAAAAGTTCTTTTAAATATCGAAATCCGCATCTCTCATTACGTTCCATACTCGCAATTATTCGCGTACGTTCCGCGTCTAAAAGGTCCTTCGCGCTTTGTAATTTTATTAATTTACTTTCACAAGAATCTGGAATATTTATGTCAACACAATCTTCTTTGTTTGAAAATTTGCTCAATCCCACATTAGTTATACAATTTTCCGTAATATGTAATAAAGTTGAACCATTTAATGGCACATTAATTAAATCATGTAACTTACTCAATTTTTCTTCAAACGAAATGGCTATTAAATTTTCCAATTCATTTACTAGGTCACTTTGCGCATTTTTTAAGGTTTGTACAAAACGCTCTCGTTCCTCCCGTCTTCGCTGCTGTATCCTCTCTTGCTGGTTTCTTGCGATATCGGCCTGTAGTACTTCAAATAACTCATCATCGAATATAACACCATTGATGTTCTCCATTATAATTGTAACTTCAGCACAGTTTCCTTAAACGGTATATGTACTTTCCTACTGATTAGCATATCCTGCTGATTAGGATATCCTGTTTACAACAGCGGATGTTGGTTTCCTGTTGACGTGAACGGATGTTAGTTTCCTGTTAACGACCGGACGCTGTTTCCTGCTGATTAGAATTTACCGGATGCTGCTTCCTGTTGACGTGACCGGATGTTAGTTTCCTGTTAACGACCGGACGCTGTTTCCTGCTGATTAGAATTTACCGGATGCTGCTTCCCGCCGATGACCGGATGCTGCTTCCTGTTCCCGCCATTTACGTTTCCTGCTGATTAGAATTTACCGGATGTAAGTTTCCTGTTGAGATGAACGGATGCAATTTTCCAGTTTGTTATTTATGCATCCTGTTCCCGCCATTTACACTTCCTGCCGATTAGGATGTTTCTAGGAGGGATGTTTAATATATAAGAGCGAGTATGCGTATGTATATGCATATACAGATTGACATCGAACATCACAACAATGAGTGCTGATTTGGTGAAAATTAACGGTAGCGGAAATGCAGTGGAAAGAACCATCATTAAACGTGGAGATCTGGAAGTGGGTAAAATTTATGAAATCGAACGAATGAAGGCGATAATCAGTTCCTATGGACGTGGAATAGTGTGCGAAATTGTCGATAATATTTCTATTTTCCTTTCTCAGCGCATGGTGCGAGAAATGGACGATGAAATGATCGATGGATTAAATAAAGTAAAGCTGGGAGTGGTGAATGGACTATCTACCAATAATGCATTGAAATTAGTAGAAATAAAATAATATAGTTTTGAAAATAAAGTTTAATGTGATATATGTTGTTATTTATTTCCCGCTAAAAACGTTAATGACGTTGACGAGTGTTTAGGTATAAAAGTAGCTTGAGAGGCGATCGGCGTTCAGTCGCATGTCTAAGTGCATACGGGTGGTGTAACGATATATATTTGAAAATGTCCTCGATTATTGAAAATATCAACGCATCGCTCCAAATGGTTGAGCATTATTAACGTTGACGAGTGTTTAGGTATAAAAGTAGCTTGAGAGGCGATCGGCGTTCAGTCGCATGTCTAAGTGCATACGGGTGGTGTAACGATATATATTTGAAAATGTCCTCGATTATTGAAAATATCAACGCATCGCTCCAAATGGTTGAGCATTATTATCAATTTAGGACGCTAGACGCATTTTTCCACGATTGTTTTCAAATATTTTCAAAGAAAATCAAGGATATACGAGGTGCGGCTATTAAATAACGAGACTGGTTACGAAAAAGGTCTTTATTATAAAAAATACAGATCCAACGAATGTTCCCCTTCAATATACTCCCCTTCCCTCTGCACACACCGAATCATTCGTTTTTTCCACTGTTGGAAGCAGTGCTGAAAGTCTTCTTCTGTGAGCGCTTTGAGTAGCTCCGTCGTTTTTTGCTTCACCTCCTCCATTGACCCAAAACGCGTTCTTTTTAGGGCAAACTTGATCTTGGGAAATAGGTAGAAGTCGCAGGGCGCTAAATCTGGCGAATACGGAGCATGTTCAAGCACTGCGATGCTTTTATTGGCTAAAAACGCGCGTTATAAGCAGGTGCGTTGTCTTGATGCAAGATCCACGACTTGTCTTTCCATAACTGCGGCCGTCTCCTACGAACTCGCTCTCGCTGTGTTGCCAGACCTTGCAAATAATAAGTTTAGTTCACAGTTTGACCCTCTGGAACCCATTGAGTCATCACGACGCCGTTAATGTCAAAGAAAACAATGAGCATTGCTTTGAATTTCGACATCCTTGCTTTTTTCATTCTCGGAGATGTTGGAGTTTTCCAATCCATTGATTGCCGCTTAGTTTCAACATCATACTGAAAAATTCAAGTTTCGTCGCATGTGATGATCTTTTCTAACAATCCAGGCTCTTCCACTAACCTTTTCAAGAACATCTGAACAGATCTGGTGACGGACAAGTTTTTCGGTACGACGCGAGAAAAAAACACGCTGGCTTCAAAACGCAATAGCATAAATACTACTCAACGCACAAAAACGTCTTTTTGCACTGGAATAGGTGATACTTCAAGGTTTCCTACGATGTTTTCGATTCCCCCTCTACACTTCTGGTACGCATTCTGCGCACGCAGTCTCGTTATATAATAGCCGGACCTCGTATTTAGTCAATATAACCATCCGCTAAAATTAAATTTTGAGTTTTGTGCCGAATTTGTTAAACCTGTCCCAAACAACGACCAAGATTTAGTATCTAGAGAATTTACTTTCTTAACCAAAAATTTTACTATTTTAAGTTGTAATTTAGAAGAACAAAACTTAAAGCAACTGTTTAATTGTAACGTCGTAGATTATTTAATGCGGCGTCTGCTTGATTTTGAAGAACAGGAAAGTGGTTGGGCCTTTTCTAAGATTATTTCGTTAAGTGTGAATGCCAATAGTGCGACTCTAATAAGAGCGTCATCCTACATCGAGTTGCCTAATGATCAAGTCCAAGCATGCGGTCATCAACGTTAAAAACAACGATGAGGCTAGTTTCGGATGGGCCCTATCTTCAGCGCTTTTCCCCGTTTCAAAACATTCCGATTGTCTTTCCTCATATCCCTATTATGCTCAAATCTTAAATTTCGAAAACATCACTTTTCCAATGACCCTTGAACAAATTCCTAAATTTGAAAAACAAAATCCCAACTTATCTCTTAACATTTATGGTCTCATCCGAAAATCTGTTTCGAATTACATCACGGCTCCTCTGTATTTAACCTCTGATAAAAAAGAACGTCATGTAAGTTTGCTAATGATACAAGACGATTACGAAATCGAAGGTAACGTTGATCGTATCGTTGATGATCATCGCAGTGATGTGGCTGTAAAATTTCACTTTTGTTGGATAAAAGATTTATCCAGACTGGCGCATTCACAATTAACGAAGAATTGCAAAAAACTATTGATATGCGATAGGTGCCTACACTATTTTAATTCTGAAACCAAATTGAGCAGACACGAAATAGATTGTAAGCAGATGAATAAATGTAGATTAAATACACCAAAGCCCGGCACGACGGTTAATTTTAAAGACTATCAATTTAAACAGACCGCTCCTTTCATCATGTATTGCGACTTGGAATGTTTAGTTCGAGAATTTCAGGAAGATGAGACGCGCAACACAGTTAAATATAAAGAGCATAATGTGTGCAGCATTGCATATTATCTTCATTGTACATTTGACAATTCTTTATCAAAACTTCAAATAAAGAGAGGTGAGGACTGTATTAATTGGTTTACAAGCGAATTAGTCAACATTGCAGGCAACTTACAACAATATTTTGATACTCCAATGCCAATGAAACCCTTAAACGATATAGAAATGCTAGCATATAATGCAGCTACTCATTGTCATATTTGTGAAAGCCCAATATTGGAGGGCGAGGTCAAGGTCAGGGATCACTCTCACTTCGGCACCGGAAATTTGAGGGGGGCGGCCCACCAGAAGTGTAATCTTCAATATAAGGCTCCCCACATGATTCCAATATTCTTTCATAATTTCAGCGGATATGATAGCCATTTTATTATAAAAAATATCGCTCAAGCTATTCCAGGCAGAGTTACGTTACTTCCTAAAAATAAATAACGTTACATATCGTTTACCAAATATATGAAAGACACGGACATACAATTCAGATTTGTAGATTCATATCGCTTTATGAACGAATCATTAGACAAGTTATCTTCATATTTGAAATTTGACGATTTTAAAATTTTACGCAGCACGTTAAACCATTTAAGCGAGGAGCAATTAAAGTTGCTTATCAGAAAAGGCGTTTATCCATATGAATATAATTATGAATGAGTGGGCGAAATTCGAAGAAACATCACTTCCAGCAAAAGAGAAATTTTATAGCAAGTTATCTCAAACGGACATTTCTGAATCAGAATACATGCATGCGCAAAACGTTTGGCGGAAATTCAACATTCAAAATTTAGGTCAATACAGCGATCTTTATTTGATAACGGATGTGCTTTTGCTAAGCGATGTATTTACGAATTTTCGCGAAAAATGCATTACAACGCATAAGCTAGAACCTGCATTCTTTTTTACTGCTCCGGGGTATACATGGCAATGCATGCTTTACTATACAAAGGTAAAATTAGACCTTTTGTCTGATATAGATATGATACTATTCATGGAAAAGGGTATAAGAGGTGGGATAACGCAGTGTTGTACGAAATATAGTAAAGCAAACAATAAATATATGGAAAATTATGATGCGGGGAAACCTTCATCTCACATCCTTTACACGGATATGGTGAATTTGTATGGTTGGGCCCAAAGCCAATGCATACCCCAAAATAGTTTTAAATGGCTTAGCGAATCAAAAATAAAATCATTAACAACCGAAACGTTAATGAAACTACCTGATGACGCAAATGAAGGTCTAATATTAGAGGTAGATTTAGCATATCCGCAGCATTTGCATAATCGACATAAGTACATACCATTTTGCGTTGAACATAGTAAACCTCCTGGTGGTAAACATGTGAAACTGCTGGCAACCTTAACATCTAAATCCAAATACGTGATTCACTATCGTAATTTGAAACAGTGTCTGCAAGCAGGACTTGTGCTTGAAAAAATTCATCGCGCGATAAGCTTCAACCAGTCTCTTTGGCTTAAACCGTATATAGATTTGAATACAAGGTTGCGAGCACGAGCTAGTAATCCGCTTGAAAAAAATTTATATAAATTGCTAAACAATGCTAATTTCGGAAAGACGATGGAGAACGTGAGAAACCATCGAAATATAAAACTCGTTACTCGTTGGAATGGCAGATATGGAGCCAATTATTGCCTTTCCCAGCCTAATTTTTGCAGTAGGGAAATTTTTGATGAAGAATTGATGGCTATCGAGCTATCTAAGGTGGAAATTATGATGAATAAACCACTCTATGTGGGAATGGCTATTCTCGATATTTCTAAAACCTTAATGTATGATTTCCACTATAATTTTATGCAGCGGCAATTTGATGATGATTGCATGAAACTCTTGTACATGGATACCGATAGCCTCGTATATGAGTTAATGTGTGATGACGTGTATGATCTGATTCGAAACAATATCGAGCGATTTGACACGTCTGATTTTGTTGAAAACAATGAATTTAACATTCCCAGATGTAATGCTAAGGTGATCGGTTTAATGAAAGATGAAATGAGCGGTAAAGTGATAACCGAGTGGGTGGCTTTGGCATCAAACATGTATAGCTTTAGGACTAGGGATTGTGATGTTAAGAAATTAAAAGGTGTAAATACTAATATTGTAAAGAATAGAATAAGTTTTAATGGTTATTTAAAGTGTTTAAAGAACCAGGACGTTAAAATCGTTTCCCAAAGCAGCATAATTTCAAAAAACCATAAAGTGTATAGCGTAGAGCAAACTAAAATTGCTTTATACAATAACGATGATAAGAGATATACACTGCCTAATCAGATCGATACGCTGCCTTGGGGACATTTTAACATTCCCATTCAAATGGAATTAGAATAAGTAGTCTATTCATAACATTGTATTTATTAATATAAGTATAAAAAAAAATGTACAGTTAGTTATATACAGTTATAGCATGGCTGTCGGTACCTCCTGAAAGTAGTAATGATTAGATTTTAAAACTCTTAAATCGTACGCTTACACGTATAATGAAGGTACTGCTCGAGTGTATCAATTTGACTTAAGAAGCGTGTCGTATCAAGGTATTATCAGTACATAAAGTTAGCTTCCTTTCTCTCGTAAAACAAGTCTTGAGACACCTCCTCCCACCCAACACCCATCTATATCCTGTTTGGGATTAAGAAGCCTGCCTTAGCACGGGTATTATCACCATATAAACTTACATCCAAGAAAAATTATCAAAATTTGTGAGAGTTTAAATAACAGCACTATTCTAACTAGAGTAATAAAAATTCATATCCTAGCCTTTGATTGCAGGAATTAATAACACATCTGTTTTAAATCGTATGCTTACACGTATTATGAAGGTGCTGCCCCAAGTGTATCAATTTGATTTAAGAAGCTTGCCTTATCACAGGTATTATCGACACATAAACTTTGATCCAAGAAAAATTGATGTAGTCGCATACGAAACCTTTCCTAATAGTTGTAATTGATATGAAGGTTATATGATAAGCCTTTTCTTAATATAGATATAGCTAAAATTGGTGTAATACATAATATTCACAATGTTGTCTTCTTTATCGCAACGGCATTATCCTCTACCTACTTCCCATCAATAAATCTAAGATATTATAGGTAATAATAAAGTTACGGCGCTTGCGACCGTTTAACCATGATGAAGATGAAGGCAAACCTCCATTGGGGTTTGATATCGGCTAAAAAAGATATCAATGTAGGCTTTTTATTACAAAATAATTTTGATACTTACGGTCCAACTCTGATGTAGACTATGTTTTCTGCTGTCGGCTTATTACTTATAAACGCCCATATAAAATAATCGGCAAAGAAGGGTTCCATATACAATAAAATGTCACGCTTTTCATAAAACTGCAAATTATGCGCGCAAGGACACGTATCCCTAAGAAAAGTAAATTATAAGCAACTAAAAGGGCGAAGACAAGATCACTTACCCGAGGTATATATAAGAAGGCGCCTGTCTGTATACCCACATGCATTTATTGAAATCAGATTGCGGATGCTCCATAATTGTACACCGTTTTAAATGTTGTGGAACGTCGAATTTATACAGAACGTACTTCCGTAAAGATATACACATTTCCAATCACCATATTTCGCGCCTTTTTAAGGGAGATTTTCGAACTTTACGCATAAAGATATATACACAATAAAAACCCCCATAGGTACCGGTATTAATATGGAAATGAAATGGTATAAAAAGTACCTTATCGCAATATTCGCTATAAATAAACACTATCGCAAGATTGCAACTTCCCATACCAAGTGAATAATGAAATCCGCGCGTGTTGCTATTTTTTTTTTCTCTTTATAAAATTAGGAGGATAACTTTAACGTCTTAAACCCACCCAACAGGATACTACATAAAACTACGGGGTAGTTCATACGTCTTGGTCCCTAACCATGGAAAATTCCCACGAACTATAAACCTGGAGCTACGCTGTAGTCGGTAGGCCTAAGGGGTAGCTCCATTCGATAGGGGAGGTAGCTATCGTTCCTATGAAATAGCTCATACGGTCCCCCTACCGCCCCTACCATCAAAAGCTGATGCTATAATTACACACTATCGCATTATAGCAAGATTGCAGCATCCAGTCCAAACGCGGTTATTTTCTTTCTATAAAAAACACCATGACTCCACATCGCACCGCACGTAGCTTCAACGGCAGCTTCAACCACCTTAAAATCCTGGTAAATATTCCGCTAAGACATATTATACATTTTAAGAGTCTATTTGTAGAACGGCCTCGACCAAATGGAGAATTTACAGTTAGGTATGAATAACAATGCTGTCATCCAAAAAAAATAGGGGCGTTGCCGTCGTCGGTCCTCTTCGACGCAAATTTTATGTAAGTAGAGTAAGCGCTTTAATTGTAATAATAAACTTCAAATCACTATTTCCGCTGTAAATAAAAACACCCTACATTTTGTTTGTTGTTTTTTCCCTGCCCACTCCTGTTCTGGTTATAGGGAACCTACCTCCGAGATGGAATTATAGGTTAGAATGAGGGTCCTCGCACCTGTCTCCTGAAATTACAATTTCCTACCCTATACCTATATGTCGCATCAATCTAATAGAGGGAGCCGGTTGAAAATATACCTCTTATGCATTACGACGCCAATAGATGGCGCCTCCGTACCATTTAATATAGTATATCTATGATTTAATAATATTTAGAGGTTCGTTATAAATACAACTATCGAAGCATTATATCATACAAGTCTAGTTAGCCTAGTGGTTATGCTATAGGACTTGTAAACCGATGGTTGGCGGTTCGAATCCGCCCCATTAAATAGTGCATTATATATCAAGGTAGAGAAGTCCACTATTATTGCCTGAGCACCAAGATTACATCTCGAGGCGCTTGCGCCGAGGGGTGTAAGGTGCGAAGGCAATAATAGATTTCTCTACCGTGGTATATATACTATTTTTTTCACTACTAGCACTTGAAGTCCTCTAAATTAACATATTATATTGATAAGAGAGTTAACGGTTGGACAGAATTGTTTGTTTCTTAATTTAACATGTCAATCAAGTACGTGGAAGTACAAGTCAAACAGGTCGTATTTTGTTCTGCCATTGAGATTTTTCAAAGAGTAATTTCGTTCGAATTTTTTCAAAATGTGATAATTTTAGGTATGTAATTTCTCTGGAAATTGCGAATGGTGGCAATTATTCGTTTTAGAGAACCTGTCTAAACGTTCATTGAGCGAAATTTCGGGTTGTGTTTTCTAAAAGTGACAGCGTGCAGTTCTCATTATTGACTACTAGTTAATAATAAAAAATTATTAACCACTTTGAACAAATGCCGAGAAAGCCTACTTTACAAGTGGAAAAAAGGTTAATAATCATGTCATCAGAGGCTAGTAGTGAAAAAAAAAATTTACCGGGAACTTGCATCTTAAGGCGTTGAGGATTCCAAGAACTTGAGGATTCTAAGAAACTTGAGGATTCCAAGATGGCGGAGCCAAGATAACAATCCAAGATGGCGGATCCAAGATTACACTGCGCAATGGGCTGGGGCGCGCATGCGCACAAGGTCAAATTGATACAAAAAAGCCCAAATGAACCTTAGAATTCCTTATGGGAAATTACATGTAATTTGGCCGGAAGTTGCGCTAGAACTCTCCTAGCCCCTTTGCTCGGAGACACTGTAAGATTCAAGGATACTAGGATATCCAGAGTTCATTTAAAGATTTTCAAGATAATTACGAATCAGTTCCAGTTATTCCAGATTTATGGGCTCATTGTTAGTGTTTGCCGAATAAAGTCACATATGCATTTTATTAACCTTATCTTTATGTTATTATAATATGCATAACAGGTGTCGAGATATTTTATTTATTTACCTTTGTTTATGAAATTCAAGGGTACTTGTCTGTAATTTAGGTTTCTGTGCATATACTTGTCAACAGAGCAGTAATTTAAAGTATCCTGTGACACTTTTCCTTTATAAGACATTTTCTCAAGGTGTTACGACAGTCTTGTTTGTTGTATTTTACGTTAAGTTATAACGCACCTTTAACGAAAATAATTATGTAAAGATCCGTCAAAAACAATTTAGCAGAAATGACACAAACGCATTGCGCCAGAATAATTTGTTGCAAGAAAAGGCAATGCTCGATTTCAAACCAAATGACACATTAATTCATTAGTACATATACAGGGATGAAAATCTTCCCAGTACTGTTCAAGTTTTGATTTTTTTTTAAATGATGTTAATTTCCTCTAACAATTATTATCCCGACGGCTAGCTTAATGTCACGAATCACCTTCGAGGTAATATTGTCCTTTTTTGTATTATACCTGAAACTCGCACATTCGCTCGAGACGACCTCGTTGCAGATAACGACCAATTCAATTAGTGAGATATTATTGAAAATAGCTAATTTAGTGATTATATGTTTATGTAGCCTAACGCTTCTCCAACCATAATTAAAATAATAATTACTGATCTATGTTTACAGACCATTTACACAGCTAGAGGTTTTTCTTTATTTACTATCGAATAAAAATGGAAATGTTTAGTTCCCTCTAGATAATTATGTCCCAAATAAGGATGTCTATCATGGGGATCTCCGACACCTCTAAAAACCGTTATGTCCATAGGTCCCACAACAAAAGCGGGACAATAAATAAAAATAAATAAATAAAATAAATAATTAAATAAATAAATAAATAAGAAATAAATAATAATATAAAAATACGTCGATGCTCAAATTAGGGAAAAGTTGCGAAATTAAACAGTTATTACCATGAGAACCAGAAAACTCCCATTACTTCTGAAGGTATGCCAGAAGAACAATAATTTGACCATTTGCCTTTCATCGTTTCCGGATGTTATAACAGATACAAAAAAACAAGTATAAATTATCCACAAGTCTAGTGCAGATAAAGCGCATTATTTTTATTGAAATAGCTTTTGTTTTCACATCACCAATAGATATATTTCTTGTAGACGTCTCAATCGTCCTTTGTGAGTACCCGACAATCCGTTCCTAAGGTATAAGGGAATATACCCGATCACGATAAGAGATCGAGGAGGAGGGCTATGGTTGGTAGAAATTAATTCCTTTCGTTAGAGTACCATGAAGGATAAAATGAGTTCTTTTCAAAGATTGATAAAGATCCCAAACCTCGTAAACGAATGCAGCTCTAATTTTAGTATTAAAACGTGATTACACAAAATTACGCAACCGGTCGATAAGTAAAAATGTCATTAAAAATTACGAATAGCGGCAGTCGGGCGACTGATTACGCTATTTTAGTCGGAGGTATTTCCATTGTTCGTATAATACCTTTCGCAATGTATTCTTTGAATTTGAGAGTCACAAAACGTTGAATTACTCGTTTAAGATTTCACTCGTACAGTTCGGAAATGAAATTTCCCCTCGCATAGAAATCTGCAAGGAATACCTTGATCACAAAGAACTTCTGACGCGTATGTTCACGTCAATGCTTGCCATAATCCGAAACCACCCCCGGAAATGTACAGGAATGATTCCCGACATTAGACATATTTTGTCGCCCCACAAGCTTATTTCTTGACAAGTGCTTCAACGATCGACTTAAAATATTTTGAGACCAGTTAGTAACCGCGACGGTATCACGTTCCATAGAAACCCTACACAACTTTCTTATGCTGTCACGCGATTGTTAATTTTGCCCACGTCTCTCTGGCGTCGCCTACTTTCACTGGCATTTTCCTGAAATTGTAACGATAGGTGCTTTGGTTATGGTTATTCGCTAATTGAAAAATTGAAAACGGTAGTTATTCTTGGAAAGAGCGAATTAAGGGCGTGCATGTAGAAAACGCATGGTCAATTTTATATTCCATTTAAATAAATTCGATCATTACTCAAATCCTTTTTCCTTTGTGAATCCGTTTATTTAAGATGTAAGTTATACCTATGGTAGATTTGTTATTACTTTAGTTGTTTATTTTCACTGCTAGAGGCCATCCGAGTGTTAAAAGCTTCATTTAAAATAGTTCTGTGTTTCGTCGCCAGAGGCCGTGCAGATGCTTTCCGTGATACGCTGACTGTATAAAACCAGTGTTATATAAGATAAGTGAGCTGATTGGCTTATTCAAATTAGTAGATTTTGATGATCTTCCCCCGTGACTATTAAGGCAGAACCAAGGATCGTACTAGGATGAAGAAAGATATTATGATCTCCAGCATACGCCGGCAGAGGTAGAACAAATGAAGGAAATTATGAGAAGAGTGGCGAGGTATTGGGAAAGTAAAGGAATGGAGTTAAACGTAGAAATATCGAAGATGAAGAGATTTGGTAACGGGGAAGGAAGGAAAGAGAAATTAAACATTTAGGCTACCAAATGCAAGGAAATAATGGGGTAAATGCGCAAATAAGAGAAGTAAAGAAAAATGGGTTGGTGGAGGTGTGGAAAACGCCTTTCAAGAACGATTTCAGAACAAGAAAGTACCACTTCGAAGGAATACAAAGAAGGTATTATAAATGGGTACTGGGGACTCAACGGAAGGATACCAAATTGTATATTAGATGAAGAAACAAAAGTGAAGAAGATAAGGATAGCATCGGGGCGCAGGGCGGTAGTGTCAGAAGAAAGGAGTGAGACGATAAGCGCACTGGTAAAAGAATGCTTGAAGGAGAGGATGAACGCAAAAGGAATGTGGGAACAACGAATAGGAGAATATTATGAACGAGCTGAGAAGAGATGGAAATTGAGCTGATCGAAATGGACCTGGATGCAAGAGATGCGATGATGGTGAGGTTAAGTGGAAGAGCAGCACCTGCGTGTGCTGAACTGCGCCTCCTTATTTTGCAGTAATTATGTATATCAAAAATAATTCAAAATAAAGACATTTATCATTATTATTAAAGAAGGCACAAAGATCTAATAAGGGAGTAGTTACCAAAACGTTTATGGGAGGGAATGTAATGGCGAGGTTCAAATGTGGAAATGATAAAGAGAAAGAGAAATGGGGCAAAAAGAAAAATATAGAGAGGAAAAAGAGAACAAGGAAGATGTTATGCAATTGCAAGGAGGTGGAAAGGATAGGCAGAAGCGGGGGTGAGGTACAGGGAAGGCGAGTATGACACAAATTACGTTATGGGAGAAGCGTCCAAGTTGATCTAAGGATCTTCATATCGCAGGAACGTGGTGTCACGATCAAAAGAGAAAGGAGTCCAATGGAACTTAGGTACACAGGGAGTTTCCCACATAAGAGAGATCCATAGTATCCTACGATCCCACATTCCACATCAGAAAGTTATAGAAGGTCTCAGTCCAACAACTAAACTGAGATTGGTTTTGACCCATCTACCAAGCCATCAAGTAGCGAAAGATTAAATGAACCAGTTCTCGTAGCGCTGAAACGGGATCTCTAAGGGTTACCAGTGGAATAAAAGAGTTACAGCAGACGTTCACATTTAGCAACGACACATACGTATTTTGTATTATCAATTATTTCTTCGACTTGTGTTAACATAAGTTTTGTGATAATGACACTTGGTCACAGCTCGTAATTTTCAACAAGGGCGTGGATAATTTTTGCTACGGTAGGATGCGCTATCGCCGACGCGTGCTCGTCGCGCCTGAACTTACGGAACAGTTCCACGATGTCCAACTCGAAAAAAAATTCGGAATACTACACTACAAGGTAAATTCTATTCAATTAAGATTAATTAATGTAATTAGACATAATATGCGATTAGCCTTTATACTCATAACATAAACGTTCCTGTGGTCTGACGTAATTTATATTACACTGAACTGGAGGGATTAGTTATCTCCCTTGGCTTGCTTCTCTTGTAATGAGCCACATTTTAATTTTATTGTTTCATGACCCATGGATAATAGGGTCACAGTTGATGAATCATTACTATTTGTTTGTATTATATGTTTTCGACTTGCGCTTACACAAGTTTTGTGAAAATGACACTCGATCACAGCTCGTAATCTTCGTAAACATTGACGTACTTCTCAACAAGGACGTGGATCATCTTTGCTACGGCAGGATGCGCTACCGACGACGCGTGTTCGTCGCATTCCCACATCAAATCGCGCCTGAACTTGCGGAACAGTCCTACGATGTCCAACTCGTCAAAAATCTCAAACACGATGCGTTGGCTTTCAATGTCTTCGCGACCGTAATTTTCGAGGAACTTCTTCAGCTGTCTTCTGTTTGCCTCCAACAGGACGGTGCCGGAAATCCAAGTCGTTTTACCGTTAACGACATCGGAGGGAGTCTTCCCGACATCCTTGTGAGCGCAGAAACAGTCCCACATGTCGTTCTAAAAGCTTTAGTTTAAGTGTAAACAGAAGCGCATTGAGGCGTACCTGAGCCTGTCTATAGATGTAGAGTTTCTCAAAAATGTGCTTTGAGGGGAAATATCGATGTGTGTCAAAATTGGCGAGGTACATCGCGCCGAGTGGGGCCGCTACGTATAACGGAAATCCTGTTTTGTACATCACTAAAGTTTTGTAATTCTCCATTTTGAGTAAGTCACCGTCGCGTGTCTTTCTAAACGCTTCCGACAGGTTGAAATCTACAGTCTGGCCGAGATGGATGCAATGCACAAACTCGCAAATAAGATTCAGAAGTTGGGGAAAATTTGGATGATTTCTGAAGTATTTGCAAAGTAGCAGCTTGGCGCCTGTTTGGATTTTTTTAATGTCTAAGAATGAGGTTTGGTTTGCAGGCAGTGTTTTGTGCCAACATGGTTTATTCCAACGTACCCCGTGACCGTCCAGGAGATCATCACCCACTATGCAGCCTGTTGTTATCTAAAGGTCGTGGTATTACTACTAAATTGAGTACTGTGGATAAGAACTTGCATTTTCAAAGACCCAAGCTAAAATACTCGCCAATCGCAAATTTTTGACCGTCAGATTGTCGGCCGACTCGATAACTTGGTAGCAATCTAGCACTATTGTCCCCACGTAGAGTTCCCTTTCAGGCCCCGCGTAGTAGCAGAATTGATCAAACCGCTTAACTACATCTGTAACTTCGCTGTCGTGTCTGGGTATTGAATCTCTGATGCTAAATGGATAGTGGTACATCATCAGTTTCAGAGAATCTACACAAGTGGTTAACATCTTTCACTGACAAGGTATCGATCACTTACCATTTTTTGGAAACTCATCTGAAGACTCAGCCAAATTCGTTTTGTTGTACAACCGTCCTGCACGTGACATCGTTAAGGCCGTTTGTTGACTGTAAAGACGTCTAAGTGCTCTTATCGCGGGATTCATTTCTCAAAAACAGCTATGCACAGAATCCAAAGAAACCAAATCTCAGAAGTATTAACACGATGTAAGTAGCTTTCTCCAGGGCATATCAATTCGTTCAAATTTTGGTAAACTACACGAGAGTTAATTGTGGAAAAGTACGGGAAAGCGGCAATGGTGAAACACATCGATCCAAGGTCAAATATCACATTAACCTGAACCATAAGACGGTTATAGAAACTATGGCAAAACAACTTAACGAGGCGAATAACAAAAGGTCGACGTGCAAGATAACGATAACCGGTTTAGAAAAACAAATAACACTAGGATAGGAAGGTGCAGAATTCGAGAATAATATCAAACAGACATCAGACAGACATAAACAATAATCGACGTCACAATCGAATCAAGAATATTACAAATAGATCACTGTAATCTGTTATGTCAATGCTTGAATTTAAATTGATTCTTAGTAAAAGGGGATCAACACGTAGTCAGAAAAAAATACTAAGATCAAAACAGGCTTCTGAAGAAAACAACGTAGCTATAATCGTTACCTGAATATCAAGCAACTGTAATAATTGCAATTCGATTTTATCGAAAACCAGTATGTAATCAAACGTTAAATCGAGGAGTCGCCGAAATAAATCTTGGAATTCTGATGGTAGCGGCCATCTGAATTCGGAAGGGCGCGTTCTGCAAGTCTGTAACGGATCACAACACAAATAACGAATCGCGCTGCACATAAAATATTGCGAAATAGCAATGCTAACGTTTGACACGGAGGAAATCGTATATTACTTCGAATACTTTACATTAGTAAAAGCCAAAAGCAAAATTTCGAGCAACCGCGGGTTATCCTTACAATTGTGTATAACAGCACCAACTTTATGTTAAATTCAAGAAAGTACTTTACGATGCACAAATAACGAAATGTCTATTAACATAATCAATTCAAAACATAAACAAGATCATATGGACCGATACTTCGCAGTAAAACTTTTAGGTATCGGCTCGGTCATTTCACAAGTGCAATATCATCCATCTACTGCGTGCGTAGTAGTAATACCCAGATAAGTAAGCGTAAAGAATAACCCAAAAGCAATAACGATAGGAACTTAACAGAAAATTATGAGCAAAGTTGAGGGTTGAGCTTTGAGTGAAGGTACAAGACCTAAAAAAACACACGTAATGAGAACAAGTTAAAAAGTAATCGTAAACGATTTACATAAAGCGCATTTCCACTTGCATTCATTTCCCATTTGTAAGATGCAACTTCTGTTAAAATCGTAAAAATCCGGCCACAAATATGAAAGATAGCGTTGCACATGGGCAATCCATTGTTGACGTGCTACTTCAATTTCAGTTTATGAGAAGAATTTCATTTCAATGCTTTTCTAAATAAGAAAGTTGGGGAACTGCGCATGCGCAAACCTAAATTTTAAAACTAATTTACTATAACTAACTAATAAACTAAGATTTTCCTTTGTTCCAAGCGCCTAAGTATCAAATTTCACTTAAATAGTTCCATAGTGTAGTATTTATTTTTAAATATAATTAATTTTATGCAAGTTTGGTTGCCTATACCAATGGTACCCTTACCACAAATAACGTTAAATCAATTTATGAAACTGTGCGCATATACTTCGATAAGAAGTGGAAATGAAAAAGGAATGCGAGCGATCCACGAGAACGAGATCGAATATTGTATTTGGCGTACCAGATTGATACCGATTTTATTGGCCGCAAGCTGCCCACATTTTGTAGTAATTTTTTTTGTGTTTGAAAAAACCCTCATCGAGGTGAGTTGCGATCCTCTTTTTCACTAACAATGCATTCAACTACAAATATACGTTATTTCAGGTTTTTTTTTTTGTACTATAAGAAATTGAATTGAGCCTATATCCTGCACAAGAATAATTAGAGAATCCAGATTTTTACTGCGACAGAAACAGCAGCGTTTCTTTTCAACACTGTCTAATTTCCAATCACCGAATCTCACGCCAACATTGCGGATGGTTCAACTCCAACTTCACAGAAGATAAGATAGCGACTCAAAAATAAGGCGAGTTCGTTCCATTTTTTTTAGACGGTATCGTTTGCTAAATTGGCCCCGTTTTTTTTTTCTGTACAATAGTAAATAGTATCACCAATCTACTAACACTCTTCTTAGTATTAAAAAATTTCACATTTTTATACTACTCTAATTGATGTAAATAAACTGGTTTTTGTGTTACGGTCTCAACCCCGTAAATTTGTTATTATCATTAAGGTTGAGTGGCGCCCAGACGCCCCAGTGTTCAAGGGAACCGATAAGCCCAAGACCGACGATAGCTGCCGGCGCACGTAACAATTCCTTTTTTTTTTGGACTAAAAATTCAACTAAAAATTAAAATGTTACAAATGGCGCGCAACGTGTAAGGCCTTGAACGCAGGTGGCGGTTTATATGTATTAAATAATTTATTTTATTGGAAATTCCTGTAAACCAAGTTTGTAGATAACCAATTTAGCAAAATACCCGCTGATATTTTTGAGATTGTTGATGCGTCGTGTAAAAATTTTTTTTGAGGTTTCGTTAATGTGTCCATTTATTGTTCAGTGTTGAAATCGCAAAAAAAAAAGAAATTGTGCAACAATAGGCATGGAGGACTTTAAGCCCTCACATTTGTTAATTGATGAAATAAAATATGAATTAAGAATTAGAGGAGTAGTTACAGATCGTCCAGTAGACGACAAGCGAAAAATTCTAAACAAATTGTTGGCTAAAGAAAGAGGTCGTCACTTAACTCATATTGATCCATTTTATGATTTTGGTCGTGAGCAGGATGCGATTAATAAAACGCTAGAATCCATTTCTAATTTAGTAACTGAATTTGAGGGGAATGAGATTGATTCCGCATTTAAGCGCGGCATATCACGTCTCAATCATGTTTCTGGTAGGATTTCGCGCATTCTAATTCCAGATGATGATGATGATCAACTGGAAAAAATCCAAAAATTTAAAAATGAATCATATGCGACTTGCCTTGCGTTAGAAGCGGATTTATCCGATAAGGCGACCGTTGGTAATGCAACCAATACCTTTCCTGAAATCGTGAACTTAAATAACACCATTATGGCCCAACCTACAGTGCCACCCGTAATACATACTAGTAATAAGGTAATTCCGGTTTATAAATGGAATTTGAAATTTAATGGTGATCCGCGGCAATTGCATCCTTTTTTAGAAAAAGTCTTGGCATTACACCAATCGCGTGGAGTATCAGAAAAAGATCTGGTTGCTTCTGCCGGTGACCTTTTTGTTGATAAAGCTTTTGTGTGGTATCGTACAATCAAATCAAAAGTTACCGAGTGGGATGATTTAGTCAAATTATTAAAGCAAAAGTTTTTACCTCCAGATTTTGAGGAAGAAATTTGGAATGACATAAAAGCTAGAAAGCAGGGCAAAGCAGAATCAACCACAATTTTTATTGCTGTTATGGAGACACTGTTTAGTCGTTTGGATAGATCTCCCGCGGAGGCAACGAAGATCAAATACATTAGACAGAATTTGCTACCTCAATATGTCACGCACTTAGCATTAACTGAAATTAATAATCTAGATCAGTTGGTTAATTGTTGCGAAAAAATTGAAAACGCCTCGTATCTTAAAAACAAGAGTCAAAACCAAGATAAAATCAATAGCTTTTCGTTTTTAGAACCCGAATTATTATACAGTAGTCAATTAAGTATCGATAAGGGTCCCAATTCTAAAGAGTTTCCGACAGCTACCAATAAAATTAACTTTAAATTTAAACCTAATCGAGTGTCAACAGTTTCGTGCAGCAATAACGCCTCTTCAGCTCAAACGAACAGAACTAAGGTCTTCCATAATTCAGAGATAGTATGTTGGAATTGCGGATTACCAAATCATACTTACACTTCTTGTAAAGCCAAACGGAGCACCTTCTGTTATCGTTGCGGAGAAAGGGACTTTTTGTCAACCAATTGTCCCAAGTGTAACAATCCAAAAAACTAGGTCGCTGGAATCGGTTGCCTGGCCGAACTGATTCCATGCGTATATCCAAAATGGCCTTTAAGTTTCCAGTTAATTCTAAAAGTATGTTTAATCCAGGTGATTGGAACAATTGGCTACAAAAGGTGAAATCTTTTTATAATACCGATAGGGGAAATAATTATGGGGAAATTGCTCCTTTTTTCGTTACGCAACATCATGACAATCGCCCTTACATCCCAATTAAAATATTTGATCAGGAAGTGGCATGTCTCCTAGATAGTGGAGCTACTACCACTGTTATAGGTAGAGATGGTTTAAGATTTATCAAAGCACTCAAACTGTTTGCACCTCCGTATAAAATGAAATTTATTGTAACTGCAGATGGGTCGAAACGTAGGGTGTCAGGCGCCGTTGACCTCCCCCTTTATTTGCATGACCAATTTCATATTATTAAAGCACTGGTCGTTCCATCACTTCATCATGAAATCATACTTGGTAGTGACTTTTGTCGAAATTTTCAGTTAAAAATTGATTTTAAAAATAACAAGTGGGAAGTTCAAGATTCAAATAAAATCTTGATGGTATATGATGATAAACCGAAGTTTTCTTTCCTCGCTAGTGACGGAAAGGAACTCAGTAATTTAAATGCAGATCAAATCAGAGTTGCAAAAAAAGTAATTAACGAATTTAATGAAATCGGGGATGAAGTAGTGTTAGGTAGGACGAACAAAATTCGTTATTCTATAGACACCGGAGATTCCAAACCCTTCAAGGAAAAGCAGTATGTACTTTCTCCATATATGATGGAAATCTTGAATAAGGAACTAGACGATATGTTAAGATTAGGTGTTATTGAACCCTCCAACAGCCCCTATTGTAGCCCTGTTTTGTTGGTAAAAAAGTCGGATGGCCAGTATCGTTTTTGCTTTGATGGTCGTCGACTCAATGAAGTCACAAAGCACGATAGCTACCCCCTTCAGAACGTCGATAGGATTCTTAGTAGTCTTCGAAATGCTAGGTACATTTCGTCTATAGATCTACGCAAAAGTTTTTGGCAAATCCCTCTCGAGGAGTCTTCGAAGGAAAAGACGGCATTCGCGATTACGGGAAGAGGACTCTTTCAATTTACAGTTTTACCATTTGGTTTGCGCAATGCTGCTCAAGTTCAACAAAGATTGGTTGATAGCATGTTCGGTCCTGAGTTTGAACCTTTTATTTTTCCATACATTGACGACATCATTGTCATATCCCAGACCTTCGATGAACACGTCAGGTTGTTAAAATTGGTTTACAGTCGGTTAAAAGATGCGCACTTAACGGTGAATTTAAATAAATGTAAGTTCTTCAGATCTTCCTTGAAATACCTTGGTTTTATTGTGGGAGAGAATTCTCTACGAGCTGATCCTGACAAAATCACCGCAATGATTAATTATCCTCGTCCTCGTACCACAACTGAAATAAAACGATTTATTGGCATGTGTGGGTGGTACAGGCGGTTCATCGAAAACTTTTCTTCGCTAGTTTCTCCGTTGAACGATCTTCTAAAGGGGCGCAAAAAGAAAGAAAAGATTTTATGGTCTGAGCAAGCAGAACGTGCATTCATTCAAATCAAAGAGGCTCTAACTTCAGCACCAATTTTATCACAGCCCGACTTTTCAGAAAAATTTACCATACAGTGTGATGCTTCAGATACCGGTTTAGGCGGTGTTTTAACCCAAATTGTTAATGGAGAAGAACGTGTTATAGCATACGCAAGTCGATCATTATCTAGTGCGGAGCGTAATTACACCACAACTGAGAAAGAATGCTTGGCAGTGTTGTTTAGTATAGATAAATTTCGGCCTTACATTGAAGGTGTCAGTTTCGATGTGATCACAGACCACTATAGTCTTCTATGGCTTAACAACATGAAAAATCCATCTGGAAAACTTGCGCGATGGGCGGTGAGATTACGTCAACATACAGTTAATTTAATTCATAGGAAGGGTAAAGACCATATAGTCCCAGATGCCTTATCTCGAGCTATTCCTGAGGAAGGCGATCCTGCAGAAATCAACTGTTTAAGCGGTAGTACTAGTACAACCGTAGATGATGACCTCAACATCGTCAATGAAACTTTAGACTGTTGGTACTTGAACCTTAGAAATAAAATATCCGCATCCCCAGAACAGTATCCTCAGTGGAAAGTGATCGAAAATCTAGTCTATAAGTTCGTTCCCTCAAAATTGCCTTTTAAATCAAACATTAGAGAGTGGAAACTTTTGGTTCCAAAAGCTCAGAGAATCGGTACAATTGATAAATGTCATAGTCCTCCAACTAGTGGTCATTTTGGTTTTTATAAGACACTTGGTCGTGTTTCGGAGTTGTATTACTGGCCACAAATGAGGTACGATATTTTGAATTATATTAGGAAATGTGACATTTGTGGGTCTCAGAAAGTTTCGTCGAAAGGGCGAATGGGAAAGATGGGTGCACCTAAAAGAGCGGAATATCCTTTTGAGATCGTAGCTGCAGACATTATCGGCCCTTTACCCAGGTCCACTAAGGGTTTCTCATATTTGCTTGTAGTTGGCGACTGGTTCACCAAATATACGTTGTTGTTCCCCCTTAGAAAAGCGACAGCTAACGAAATTGTAATGCATATGGAGGAAAATTTGTTTTTAATTTATGGAGTTCCTAAATACATTATTTGTGACAACGGGTCTCAATTTGCCGGATCAGTTTTTCGCGACATGGCAGAAAAATATAGTGTCCAAAAAATTTTGTTTACTCCAAAGTATTCTCCACAATGTGACTTTATTGAGCGAACCAATCGCACAGTGGGAACTGCAATTAGAAGTTACATTAAAGGGAACCACAAGCATTGGGATAAAGAGCTAGCAAAAATACAATTCGCTATAAATTCGGCTAAGCATGAAGTAACAAAGTACAGTCCGTCATTCCTTGTGTTTGGTCGTTACGTACCAATATCTGGTAATTATTATAACGGTACCATGCCGGTAGAAGGAAATGTGGAAGATTATGTGTCCCGCATCAAAGATTTATCAAAAATATATGTACATATTAAAGATAAATTACAAACTAGCTATGAACGCAACTTGCGTCACTATAATTTAAGGAAGCGCGAGTATGTTTTTAAAGTAGGTGAAAAGGTTTGGCGGAAAAATATGGTGCTGTCGGACGCCAGTAAAAACTTTTCGAGTAAACTTACACCAAAATTTGTTTTATGTAAGGTTAAAGAAAAAATTTCAAATTTAGTGTACAATTTAGAAAAATTAGATGGATCTGATGATGGCAATTGGCACATCAAGGACCTAAAGCAATATTTGGGATCAAATTCTGATGTATCTGTCATGTAAGTGTCTTTATTATTAAGTATAGGTTGTTAGGTTGTAACAGGGCTACTGTTGGCGGTATTGACTCTCACCTACAATGTCAACCTCACAATTGTGTCAATTCCCTACTTGGTCTCCCTTGTGGACGTGTGGTACGCGTAGTTACCGACCACTGCCAATAGTTTGCCTGTAAAATTTTTGTTTTGGTTTGTTTAGTAGTAAATTGTCCGTCCATTGGCTAGTCAATAATTAGGGTATCAGCTATTAATATTAAGTATTTAGTGTTATTAACCAGTATAGTAGGTAGGTAGGTAATTCCCAAGGCTGTTTCTGCTCATTATAATTAACTAAAAGAGAAAAAAAAAGAAAATTATGAATAATTTCCTTTTTTTTTTTCAAGAAGGGGGGTGTTGTAGTATTTATTTTTAAATATAATTAATTTTATGCAAGTTTGGTTGCCTATACCAATGGTACCCTTACCACAAATAACGTTAAATCAATTTATGAAACTGTGCGCATATACTTCGATAAGAAGTGGAAATGAAAAAGGAATGCGAGCGATCCACGAGAACGAGATCGAATATTGTATTTGGCGTACCAGATTGATACCGATTTTATTGGCCGCAAGCTGCCCACATTTTGTAGTAATTTTTTTTGTGTTTGAAAAAACCCTCATCGAGGTGAGTTGCGATCCTCTTTTTCACTAACAATGCATTCAACTACAAATATACGTTATTTCAGGGTTTTTTTTTGTGTACTATAAGAAATTGAATTGAGCCTATATCCTGCACAAGAATAATTAGAGAATCCAGATTTTTACTGCGACAGAAACAGCAGCGTTTCTTTTCAACACTGTCTAATTTCCAATCACCGAATCTCACGCCAACATTGCGGATGGTTCAACTCCAACTTCACAGAAGATAAGATAGCGACTCAAAAATAAGGCGAGTTCGTTCCATTTTTTTTAGACGGTATCGTTTGCTAAATTGGCCCCTTTTTTTTCTTTTTCTGTACAATAGTAAATAGTATCACCAATCTACTAACACTCTTCTTAGTATTAAAAAATTTCACATTTTTATACTACTCTAATTGATGTAAATAAACTGGTTTTTGTGTTACGGTCTCAACCCCGTAAATTTGTTATTATCATTAAGGTTGAGTGGCGCCCAGACGCCCCAGTGTTCAAGGGAACCGATAAGCCCAAGACCGACGATAGCTGCCGGCGCACGTAACAATTCCTTTTTTTTTTTTGGACTAAAAATTCAACTAAAAATTAAAATGTTACAATAAGATAAAAAAGTGGCACGGCCGCATGCGCAAAAATAAAATTTTGAAACTGGCGCTAAGATTCCTTTTTCCAAGTGCCTTGTATCACATTTCATTTAAATTCTTCCATAAATAAAAAAAGTTGGCACTGCGCATGCGCAAAACCAAAATTTTTGAAATTGGCGTTTGATTTTCCTTTATCCCAAGTGCCTATGGAAATTTCCGTTTAAATTCTTCCATAAATAAAAAAGTTGGCACTGCGCATGCGCAAAACCAAAATTTGAAATTGGCGTTTGATTTTCCTTTATTCCCAAGTGCCTATGTATCAAATTTCATTCAAATACTTTTATAAGTAAAAAAGTTTGCAATTCGGTTTATAAATGGTCGACATGCGAAAAGGGCACTGTGAATTTTGAATCGATTCGATCCAACTTTTGGCATTGCGTATTATATGGCTAAATCTATGCCCATATTGAATTTCATGCAATTCAGTTCATAACTAACGGAGATGTAAAAGCGATCGAACATTTCTAAAAAAAGTTATCGTTCACACGGACAGATAGATGGACAGACAGACAAAGGAACAGACGGAGAGACCAACCGGCAGGCGACAGATAGCAATGCAAAATTATAAGCGATCTCTAGGATCGTTAATAAACGGCAAAAGTGTAAAATTATGGAACATGTAAAAAACGGTTTTTTTTTTTTTACAATAACTTTTTTTGTAAGCGGTACAGAAAAAATTCCTTCCTTGGTACAAGACTCGACACCATAACGAACCAAATAGCGAAAAAAGTAGAACAATAGCTCTAAAGATAAAAAACTAGTAGCGTCGCAAAGTTAGCGGACGGACGGACGGACGGACGGACGGACGGACGGACAAAGTGGCCACAATAGCGCATTTTTTTTTTATTTTTGTGGAAATGCGCTAAAAATGTTGCGTAATAATTTAATTTAATACAGATCCGTAAAAACGATTCAATGGAGCGACCACAGCCTTCAAAAGGACGAGAAACCCCTCCAAAAATAAATATAATAATAATAAATCGTTTATTGGGATTAACTATAGATAAGGTATATGAGCATGATCATTACAATTAGTCCTTCCAATTTCCACCAAGGGGTTAAAATTCAGATTGGTCTTGGTAATTTGTGAAAAGGAGAGAATCAGTCAATGATTCCAATTTAGTAAGATGGTACAAATGCGGTGAAAGAATACTATTCGTAGACAAATAAAATCTAAGAAAAAGGGATAGAATTTAATGCAGAAAGGTGCAAAGCGTGAGTTCTGGCAATAATACAAAGAATTAAGTAAAAGAAACATCTAACACTAGGATAGCCAGTAAAGGCAAAACAAAGAACTATAATTTACTACAAGAGTTAGCTTACATCTGAACTAGTAGATTACAGAAGAAACACCTAGATGGCGAAACAATATAAATAAAAGCACAATTCAAACAGTTATTTATTCGGAATTATAATTCGGTAGTATTAATTGGCAAGAAAATAACGTTACAATCTACAACCCGAGGTAAGTGAATTAAGGCTAAAGCTTAAGCAAATGGGAGCGCATGTGTGACTTTGCTGAATGGGCCCGTGTGGTGCAGTTCAGTTGAAGCTGGACTCTGGTTCTAAGGGTCCCTGGTTCGAATCCGGGTTAGGGCATCGATATTTGTAAGTGTATAGTGGGTTGGCTTTGTAGAGCAGCCTTGGCTGAAACCACCAAATAAAGCCAAATAAATAAATAAATGTCTATAATGACTCCTGTCATCACTGACAGATTGACATTAATCAAAAGTTCTATATAAAAATTAAAATTTTATATGAAAATACGATTTCGGGTCAAATATAATACAAAACTCGTCAGTAAAATCACATTACCTGACTCGGAAATTAAACTGCTCGGCTCGAAAGGGGCCTCGAACTTCAATATTTCCTCGCCAGTAATGTGTCATTTTCCTGACTTTTATGTAAATAACCATTTCCTTCAAATGGCGACCCTTTTTGAGAAAAAAGATTTTAAAAGACCCTTACAAAGAGACTACACTTTAAATGCTCTCAAGCAATCATCAAAACTAGCGGTTTTCAATACTCCCTAAGGCTCATGCTTCTCCTTAGGGATGCAAATCTCAAAGACCCTTACTGCTTTTGAAAAACTTTTCGAAATCCCTGCGCAGGAGGTTGGAGAATGTTTTCAAATATTGAATGCTCTTCAAAGCAAGCTAGTTAACTGCTATCAAAGCTTCTCCAAATGTAAAAGTAATGATCTTAAAAGAGAAAGGGTATCCTGGCGCAAGTCATATGAAACGAGAAGCAGATAGGACAAAAAAAAACACTGAACCAGAAATCGTGATTAACGTTCCGCAGGATGGAAACGAGCAAATAGTAATTAGGTGCCAGTTATCGGGCTTTTGCTGTCATAAACAATAATGTTGGATCGTAAGTCGGTTTATGCAGAATAAGGAGTTAGGAATCCATGAATAAAAAATGACGAAATAGTAAATGATCACGGAGCAAAAAGTAAGGCACCCATTAATCAGAAATAGAGAATCACTCATTAAAAGTCAGGGTCAGATAAAGCACACCACACAACGAGCGATCGAACAAATTAAATTTAAATAAAGTTTTAATAGCCCTAAGTTAAGTAATTGTGTTTTTCAACAAACAGACGCACTAACACATAAAACAAGCACCAAGCTGATGATGCTTTCTAGACCGCACTTCTTTGACTACACTTGAATCTCGATTTAGGTGACACTAACTTTGTTGTAATTGCAATTATAATATTTACTTTAGCACGGTGACTTAATACTCATAACATTTTCTATAGCAAGAACTTTATGATTATAAAAACTGACTGTCTAGCAATTATACGTTTGAATAACTGCGTCCACCACCAAAAAAAAGACTGATTATCGTCTTCCTCTCCTATTTGAAACAAATTGTATCTACGACCGGAGATAATATGATTAAATCTAGCATAACATGATCGAAATTTCGCTTATCCCAATCTACCACTAACTTTTAACGTTAAAAATAATTGAAATGCACCTATAATACAGGCTATACTATCGTCATTGCAGGTGCCGAAGCCTGTAACGATCTCTTGTCTTACCAATTTAAAATTTTATATTTAATTCAATACTTTTAGTATATGCTAGTATAATAACGTCATCTATCTATTTTCTTTGTAATCCGTTTCGTTACTTTAAATGTAGTTAGTTGAGTATTATAAGTTTCACGTACTGTCGCTAGAACCCATTACTTCATTCTTTCGCCACTAGAGGTCGTGCAGAAGTCTCCGTTGTCTTCTTTTCGTTTCTGCGTACGCATTCGCTGTACTACACACATTCGATCATTAATTGTAAAGAAGAATACACGCCACTTTTCCTTGACCTTCCAAAGGAGTTCTTTTCATGGCTGTATAATATGATATGGTGAAGTTTTTCGTTTGTGATTTGCTTTCGATGCTTCGCTGACGCTTATTGCGGATATATTTATAAGTTCTGGAGCCGTTTACGGTATGTAGCTACAGTTGCGTATTACCCTTGTCTTTGAATAATAATTTTTAGGTTTCTTACTTCCGACTTATTTTCTTCTTCATTAGCTATGTTTTACTGCAAGTATTAATGAAACCTCTTGGAGATTATCGCTTCAATATTTCTGATCATACGTACTTTGCTTTTGTCGTTACCCAAGAATACATCTTGTAAGGTATAAGTTAAGGTAATCACACTGTATATATTGCAACCTAATTTAAGTAATATTAAGTACTATTCTATTGGGTAAGAATGCTGACAGAATGATTGCGTCCTAGGAAAGTATGTGTGTAAAGTAGGTTAGAGAATGTAGAATTAAGTTAGACGTTAGAAGATGTTCAACCTGCGACCAGGCAGCATGTACATACAATACGGTTGTTAATTAAATATATGGAGGAGGAGTCGAGGTACGAACATTACAATCTTTCGCACTTCGATTTTGTCTACGTTCCTTCTGTTACCCCGAAGTTTAACTACGGTTCATATCTTTTATATTAGTTTGTTTGCTGATTGGCACTGATCTGTACGGACAATTCATTGTCGATCAAAATTTTACTTTTGTTTAATTGAGCCTATGAAAGCCAGAGTGGTACAAGTCAATATTTTTAGTATTTGAGATTTCTATTTCCTCATATCCTTACCATTCAAAACTGCACGCCCACAACATCTCAGTAATATATCTTCAATCAAATTGCCACAGGTGGCGCTAAAATATTAACCGTGTAATACGCGTACTGCATGACTGAACGCTATAGTGGTACAAGTCTGACTTAGACCATTATAGAGTGAAACGTCATTACTCATATTAGTGTGGTGTAAATTACGTGCATTTTACTTTTTCTTAAAATGAGTGTTGTTGGTTCAGAAGAAGAGCTGTTTGTTTCCAGCGGAAGTGAATATAATCCGGATGAAGAATACAGTTCCTCATCAGGTAAATTTTAAATTTTATACGGTATAAAAACAACTTTAACCTCAAAATTAAGAAATTTTAAAATTACTTGCATTGTTTTAGTTTACAATAAAGTTCTGTTAGTCTTAGTTACTTGTCCACAGAATACACAATAATCTTTGCGTAATCTAATCGTTTCGATCAGAGAATTTTTACTTTGTTTGTTTGTTATAGAAGAAAAGGAAAATCTGCTACCACCTGCAGTACACCCTTGCACTTCGAAACGTCTTGGCAGAAAACGTTACAGGGAATCGACGAAACATCTCTCTTTTATTAGAAAAAAAAAGCGTAATTCTGGAGAAGAGTATCTCAGTGTTACCAACAAGATAGTTCCTGCAAAAGAGTTCAGCAACGTTAACTGCAATTGTACGAATAAGTGCTTTGAGAAAATCTCAGAAGAAGACCGAAAAATTGCGTTTGAGAAATTTTGGAAAATGGGAAATTTTTCAGCTCAAAATGCATTTTTATGTGGCATTGTTAAACAATGTGAACCACAAGTTCATCGCCCAAGAAATGAATCTAGGACCCCAAAAACGGTATCCAATAATTATTTTATTACCGTGAATAGGTACATCACATAAGGTATTGTAACGGAAATGCTCCAGAATTCTCTGGAATTTTCTACGCGCGCGATAGTGGAAGTTGTAGGAACATTCGAGAATGTACTGGACTTACATTGCTTGCGTGTATAAATGGTTGCGGACCGAACATCGAGTTAGTCTACTATCGAACGAGTACGGACGAAACATCGAGCACGGAAATATAAATTGCGAAGTGTGTGTGATATAATAATCGATATAAATTGTACGGTTTTTATAGTGTTGTAGTTTTGATTAATAAATATTGATATAAATCGAACCCGAATTTATATAAATAACGTTACAGTATGTAAGCAATTCTTCCTGGACACATACAAAATATCAAATGGCCGTTTATCACGGGCTATCAAGCGCGGAAGAACATGTTGAAGACGTACGCAGTCACATCTCTAGCTTTCCAGCATATCAATAATCCGAACAGGAAATATTTAGACAATTGTTTAAACATACGCTTAATGTACAATCTCTACAAGGAAAAGTGTACTGAAAAGAATAATGTTGCCGTTTCGGAAGCCATGTACCGCAAAATTTTTCATCGCGACTTCAATCTCCATTTTCACGTTCCCCTGAAAGACACTTGTGTTAAATGTGACACTTTCAAAGCCAAACTTAATGTAACAACTGATGACAATGAAAGACAACAACTTAATACTCAACACGAATTGCACTTACGAAAAGCAGAAAAAGCCAGGGAATCCCTCAAATCTGACAAAGCGGTATGCATTTTAAATAAATCTCGAACATATGCATTTACCTTTGATTTGGAAAAAGCTCTTCCATTTCCCACTTTAACGTGTTCAATTGCTTACTATAAAAGAAACATGTATGTCTATAATTTGGGCATACATGAGCTGACAGAAGACGAAAGTGGTTTTATGTACGCGTGGGACGAGACTATCTCTTCTCGAGGAGCTCAAGAAATAGGTTCGTGTATTCGAAAACATATCCTCAACTATGCAAAGAACGCGGAACATGTCATTGCCTATAGTGATGCTTGCGGGGGGCAAAACCGGAATCTAAAGCAATGCTTATTTTGGCTAAAAATGCTTGCTGGTAATGAAACTAATATTAAGAAAATAGACCATAAATTTATGGTATCAGGGCATTCATTTTTGCCTAATGATAGGGATTTTGGCCTTATAGAGCAATATGCGAAAAATCGAATCAAGTATGTTCCTGAAGATTGGTTTGCAATAATCCAAAAATGCAAACACAAAAATCCATTTAAATTACATAAAATGGTAAGAACAGATTTTTATTCCTGCGATCTGTTGGAGAAAGCAACTACACGAAGGAAAACTAATACAGATGGAGAACCAGTTGCGTGGTTGAAAATGCAATGGCTTCAATTTCGAAAGGACTGCCCGTATGAAATATTTTACAAAGAAAGCTTAAACGACTTACTACCTTTTAAAAAAATAGATTTACTTCCAAAAAAGAAAGGCCGAGTGGCTGATTGTAAGAACATAGAGTTACCTATTCTTCATGAATCTGCACTTCCCATTTCGGCCGAAAAAAAGAAGAACATGGAAGAACTGTTTCAATTCATTCCACCAATCCATCAAGAATACTTTCAAAATGTAAGATCTGTGGATGATACAGAAGATATTGGTCTATTAGAGCCGTATTTGGAGATCGAGGAGTTGTGACTAAAGGGTGTATGTTCAAACGTTTTGAATAAATAAAATTTTGAGCATAAAAACTACCCTTTTATTGCATAATTATATTAGAGTAGTAAGTTGTCATATAATTAAACTTAAAAAAGTTGAAAGGCAGAGTGGTCTATCTCACACAAAAGGCCCTACAATCACACCAATAACAAAAATCGATATTTTCTCTGGCTTTCAAAGGCTCAATTAACGTAAATTATTTATATGCCGCGCCACTCACTATCCCTCTTGTTTGTTTGTTTGTGTTGTTGACTGGTACAGATAAGGCAGAGAAGCGCCTTTCTGAGCTCAAAAGGCCGTTACGACCAGAGTTAAAGGTTGTATGGAGTGCCCATTCAGAACCCTGTGCCTATCACGAACGAGTCCGCGCTGACAACATTCTGAGGAATTGAAGAAGTCCCCAAGTCGCAATCCTATCGCAGGAAGATGACAAATGCGATAAAGGGTACCAAGAAACAACAACGCGGAATATAGACAACTCCCTATACCTTAAGCATGCCACTGAAAAGAGAAGCTAAGAAATTAGAAAGCTAAGAAATTAGAAATAGCAACCGAACGATCACTCCAAAAATGAACTGATTTCCCTCTGGCGGCTCAAGATGTTCATTTAGAACAAATTAAGGAAGGAATATTCTCAGGAATAACCAGGAAATGCAAACTTATCCGGAAATATGTAGGTTACTGGAAAGTGAATCGCAACCTAATCAAACAAGCAAGGCAAGGTTGAGGCATCAGCTTTCCTGCATAATTAACGTAAGGTTTAGGGAGTAATATCTGTGATATAAATAACATGTAAACGCTTACAATGAACTATAGGTAACGTATCGGATTTGAGTAATAAGATAATCCCCGACCGAATGTTATCTCGTTGAAGGTTTGCTTGGGTTCCCACCATCTTAATTTTTTTTAACTACGCCCATCGATCATTAGAATCTGTTCCACTAATAACATTCATTCCTTTCAACCAATTAGAAACCCATAATTAACCGATTTCCCATTGTCCCAGCGTAAACGAAACACTAGTGACGACCGGATCTGGCTCAGTAAAATTGCCACGTAATTCTAATTAATATCACACGACTGTCGGGCACACACGCTGATGAAAGAACATGGAAAAGTTCTCTTTTGCAGGTACGTTAACTATTTCTGTGTATTATTAGTTACTTTGACTTGTGTTAATAAAAGCTATTGTGACAATAACATTTGTTCTCACAGCTCGTAATCTTCGTGAACATTGACGTACTTCTCAACAAGAACGTGGATCATTTTTGCTACGGCCGGATGCGCTACCGTCGACGCGTGTTCGTCGCATTCCCTCAACAAGTCGCGCCTGAACTTGCGGAACTGTCCCACAATGTCCAACTCGTCAAAAATCTCGAACACGATGCGTTGGCTTTCGACGTTGTCGCGACCGTAATGCTCGAGGAACGTCCGGAAATCCAAGTCGTTCTACCGTTAACGACATCGGAGGGAGGCTTCCCGGCGTTCTTGGGGGCGCAGAAACAATCCCACATGTCGTTCTAAAAAATTTGGTTTAATTGTAAACAGACGCGTTTTGAAGCGTACCTGGGCCTGTCTATAGATGGAGTTTCTCAAAAATGTGCTTTGAACGGAAATATGGATGCGTGTCAAAATTGGCATGGTACATCGCGCCAAGTGGGCCAGCGACGTATAACACGAAGCCTGTTTTGTAAAACACCAACGGTTTGTAATGCCCCATTTTGAGTAAATCGGGGTCTCGCGTCTTTTTAAACACTTCCGAAATGTAATCTATAATTTGGCCCATATGAGTGTGGTACAGCACCTCACAAAGTAGGTTCAGAAGTTGGGGATAAGTTGGATGGTCACTGAAGTATTTGCGGAGCAGCAACATGGAGCCGGTTTGGATTTTTTTGATGTCTAAGAATGAGGTTTGGTTCGGGGGCAGTGTTTTGTGCCAACATGGTTTATTCCAACGTACCACGTGACCGTCCAGGAGATCATCGCCCACTATGAAACCTGTTGTTATCTAAAGGTTGTGGCATTACTATTAAGCTGAGTACTGTGTATAAGAACTTGCATTTTCAAAAACCCAAGCTAAAATACTGGCCAATCGCAAATTTTTGACCGTCAGATTCTCGGCCGACGCGATAACTTGGTAGCAATCCAGCACTATTGTACCCACGTAGAGTTCCCTTTCTGGCCCCGCGTAATAGCAGAATTCATCAAACCGCTTAATTACCTCAGTAAATTCGTTGTCGTGCCTGGGTATTGAGTCTCTGATACTAAATGGATAATGGTACATCATCATCTTCACAAAATCTAGACGAATGGTTAACAACTTTCACTGACAAGGTGTCGATCACTTACCATTTTTTGGAAACTCATCTGATGACTCAGCCAAATTCGTTTTGTTGTACAACCGTCCTGCACGTGACATCGTTAAGGCTGTTTGTTGACTGTAAAGGCGTCTAAGTGCTCGGAACGCAGGATTCATTTCTCCAAAATAGCGACCGCACAAAGTTCAGAGAAGTCCCACTGAAATTTTGGACCTATACGATCGATAAATTAGACGAGAAAGTGTGGTAGGTACGTGGCCAAGGGTGCGATTAAACTGCATTGATCTAAAGGTAAAGTAGCACAATAGTCAAATCCATTGGCAAGGTCAAAAACAACTTAACGATAAAGAAAAGGTCGTCGTATGTGATAACGATAACCGCTCAAGCAAAACAATAACACTAGCATAGAAAGATCCAGGCTGAAATCGAAATCTAGGCATTTTCTGTCAAGAGCATGCTCCCTTCGATACCATCGGCATAGTAAATGGACTGCACGTGTCAATGATAAAAGCGAATACTGCAAGTGAGAGAGAAGGGAAAACTAAGAGGACAACCTGTCTCTTAGGGTTACGCATCTGACTGGTTCTTTCAATTTAATTTGATTGCGGTCGCGATCGCTCCTGTTGAAAGAACCAATGAGATGCGTAACCGTAAGAGACAGCTTGCCCTCGTAGTTTTACCTTCTCTCTCACCTGCAGTATCCGTGTTTAGCATTGGCGCGCGCAGTCCATTTATTAATATGTCGATGTTCGATACTTGTTACTAAGCAAGACATTTTTGCACAAGTGCCAAGAATTCCCCCAAAAAAAAGGACGAAATTCACTGAAACGTACTAAAAACGATGCTGGCGACCCCCTCTCATTGAACTATTCCATTCCTGTATTTCAGGTATTTTCATATCATTTGTGAGTTCAGACGCCATAAGAAGATTGCATTACACCACCCACGAGTGTCTGGAGGCAATCAGCGAAACCATCTCCCGGGCAACCGGAATAATATCCCGAACATGGGACGCAGCCTCAAATAAGTTACTCGAGCAGTCCCTAAAAGCGCCAAACAAAACACAATTTGTTATTTTAGAATGAAAGGGTTTAACCAACCGCAACTACACCTTTATCTATCGTAACTAATTGCAAGTAATGTGGACAAGGGTGAAGCTTAATTTTTTATTGACATTTTTTCGTGTTTACAGCAAAAACCACACCCTCAATCATCAAATCTCAGTCTAGCAATTCTAAAACAAACTTTAAAAAAATGTACCCAAACTAACCTCTGATAACAACGTCGCAACAGCAACACTATTCTGATAATTTACATTCTCCCACAATTGACACCACAGGTTTCAATTCGCGTTTATTTTCTACCTCACTACCTCACACTTGTTGCTTTCTTATCGTGTTCATCTTGAAACTAATTTGCGCGTTGTGTTATCTGTTATCTGGTCATTGCGATAAGAACGTTTTTTGTTTTTGTTCTTATCGCAATGGCCAGATAAACCTTTTAATACAACACGCAAATAAGACCAAGTGTTTCTACCCTTTAATACGCAATTTCACTTTTGCTAGTAAATAAACAAATTACAAGACAATAAATTTTAAAAGGAACAAACTTCACAATTCTTATACAAAACAATGTATAAATATTCAAATTTAAATCAAAGAAACTAATTCCCTGTTCAAAGACCAGCAACCAACTTTACATATAAACAAATTGATATTCCACATACAGGGTGGCCCATTATTATTATAGGTACCGAGCCCGAACAAACCTTCTTGTTTACACAACAATAAATTCTATAGATTGTGCTTTTCACAATTCGGTAGGTTCTCTAGACTCTATTAGAAGGCGTAAAACCTATACATTTATCAGATTCTGTTAGTTTTTCCTGCCAAGATCTGTATCTTCTAGGATCTGTAGATACCTTACAGTATTTAACACTCAATCAAAGTTTTCAGAACGTATAGTCTTTAACGCATGAAGAGTTTGGATCAGTTTTCGAGAGTCCTTGAGTCGCTTACGGTCCCAAGGGAGAGCTTTTCAGGGCATTTAAAGCATTCTACGAGTAAATACTTTTTTGATAAAGTCGTTTAATTTTAAGAGTTATTATGATCTGCGCCCTCGAGGGAATTATTGAGTGTTGAAGGGTTTTAGGAAATTGTAAGATTCGCCAATATGTTCACCGAACTGAAGTTGGTAACGTAAAAAATTTATTTGTAAACACCCTGTAATAAGTGTTGTAAAATTCCTCCGTTAGATGTCGCTTGATGTAGTTCTTATTCTTTGAAATTAAATTCTGCTACTTTTTTGTACTCCCCCTTGTACGTATAAAAGCTTGAATTTGTATTTCACAAAAAAAATTTCGCACGTGAAAATATAACTGCATTAATTAAAAAATTAACATCCGATAACACGATTGATGATTCACAAACAACTTTTAGTATAAAAACGATAACAATACCAAGAGGTGCAAAAAGGAAGAAAAATTATTATTTTTTTTTTTTTTTTAGAGATTTTTGATAACATGAAAAATTATTAATTGATCTGAAAATTTAAAGACAAACAGGTGTATAACACAGATAAAAAATTGTGATAGTTTATTTTGTCCTAGAACTGTGATTGTTGCTCTAACTTATAAAACTAATATACTCTTAAAAAGGGAGTTGACAGATAATGAAATAAAAAAAATTAGACTAGCGGCCGGTTGCAAGACGGTTGGAATATACATGAATTAGGAAATCCGGAGTTACATATAAGCCGAGATTAGTCCACGATCGGGTTTCTCGTACTTAATCGAATCTTAGATTTTGAAATTCTAGAATTATTATAATCCAACGCCAGGTCGTTGTGAATTCACCCCTATTTTGACACAACACTAATTTGACGTTTGTGAGGTGATAGCGTAGTGTTAAATCTGTTGATCACGGTTACGGATCACATCAACAAAAATGAGGAAGGAGAAGTGAAAAAATTACACAGAGGTAGAGAAAGAGTTTCTATTAGAAACGATCAAAAGGTTAGTAAGTATAATTAGTATAGATATTGTAATTTTATTGTATAATTTCTTTATGTATAACTGATGATAAGAAAATAATATACCTATACACTATACAGTTCAGTTTTTCAACAATAGTAGAAAGTAAGGTAACAAATGGACCATTGTGCGAGAAAAAAAATGATACTTGGAGAAAAATTGCTAACGCCCTCTCAAGTCTGCATCGAAACCCAATACTCATTTTCAAATTCTCCCCAACAAGGTCCAACATTTTCCGTACCGGGTCTTTGAAAATCGGAAGCGCTGTTTGAAATCGAGATCATCATAATTTTCCATTGGATTTGCCCTGTCTCTAAAAAGTCTTGGCCTAGGCAAAACCAATTCATCATTGTCGCTTTCCAGACTTGATAATGATGTACCTATCTGACATTTGTACGTTCTGCCTAGGGAATGCAATACCGGGATCGCGGGATCTCGAAATACCGGGATCCCGCGGCATTTTTGCGGGATTAATCCCGTACAGAAATTAAGCGGGATCCCGTGGGATTTGCGGGATTGCAAAATTTACGACGTTGTTTAAAATTTATTAATAAAACGCGTAACGGAGAAGTGCTGATACGTACAGGTCGTCCGTAAATCAATATCTCGAAAACCGCCATTTTGAAAATTTTTTTTCTACGTTCATTTAATTTATACGATCGAATCCTGCAACTTTTATTTGAAACTTTCTTCGATAGCTCTCTTTGTTACTAAAATATTGACCTTTTTAAAAATGGCGATTTTCACTTTTTCTCCAATTATCTACGAAACGAATTATTTTTTCAAAATATCGCGTCGAAATATCAACCAGCATCAAAAACTACACAACTTTGCCAATTTAACCGAATCTGTACGTAAGTTTAACAATAACAGAGATAATCATCTTACTCAATTTAAAACACCCTGTATACTCGTCGATGGTTTACAAAAACTTTAGTAGTACAGTATGGCTGTATTAATTGTAGTGAATATTCTAGAAATCCAGATAAACGTGGAGGCCGAAAGCGGATGTGACGCATCCTTTCCGGGAAATACGATATGTTTTGTTGGAGAATATTCGGTTAATCCGCACAAAATTGCATATTTCCCAATACATTTAAAATTTTGCGGGATCCCGCGGGATTAACATAAACGATCCCGCAAATACCGGGATCAAAATTTTGCCGCGGAATTGCATTCCCTAGTTCTGTCGTTATAATTCCAGTTTAATTCTCCGATTTGACGAATTAGAATAATTTTGATTTAATCAATGACAAATGTAGGATTACAGCTTCATGCAACCCAAAACCAACGTAATCAGGGATTATAGTAGGAATAAACTTAGATTAGAATAATCAAGATTAGTTTAATCCAATACTTGATCATGCAACCAAAATTTTTGTTTAATCTCGGATTGGGCAAATAATCTTGGATTTCGATTATAATTCGCTTTCTTGCAACCGGGCGTTAGAGAGATAAATATAAATTACGGAACGAATTGGTCACTATACTATGTAACAGATTATGTGAATGTAATAAGGAAGATTTACTAAAAGTGATATAAAACATGTTGACGAAATATTAAATATTCAAATAAACGTTATCTGTGCTGAGGATTTTAACTCTGTTATTTGTAGAGGCCATAATAAAGAAATAGATAACAATATAATTGTACAAAAATAAAAATCATATAAAGTAGATGGCTTTGATAAGGAAACCAATACGATTTATCAGCATCACGGATGTTTTTGGCAGGGTTGTCAAAAATTTTACCGAGTAGAAACATTAATAGAAAACGAGAATCAATGGATGATTTGTATCAAAAAACAATAGAGAGAAGCAAGAAAATAAAAGAAAGTGTTAATCTGATAGAAATTTGAGAATGCGAGTGGTTAAAATCAGAAACACATAAGAAAATGAATCCATTAAATCCTAGAGAAGCATTTTTTGGAGGAAGAACAGATACAAAATCAAGAGCTAAAACAGATGGAAAGAACATACTAAAATATGATATATTGATGTTTGTAGTTTGTATCCTATACAGTGTAATTTTATGATTATTACACTGTTGGTCATGAATGGTTATGAAGATTAAATTAGAAACCAGTCCTTGGAAAAATGACTAGTAGTAAAGAAGATTATATAAAAAATATCAAAGAAAAATTAAATATTGACTTAGATCCTAGTAAAAAAGAAGAAAATCCTGGTAAAAAGCTATTGCGAAAATTGGTTTAAATAGTTAAATAGTTTATGGGGGAAATTGGATAAAGGCAAAATATGGGTAATGTAACAGATCTTCGAAGATTCTACCATATACTATTAGATGATAGATTAAAAACAAT